CATTAAGATTCAAGCAAAATATGCAAGGCTCATATATTCTATGCTGATAAAATTACAAGCGGTAAATGCTAGTTTAAAAGAAAGGAAGCCTTAAAATGCCACTCGCTTCGGCATCATCAACTTTGAGACCAGTGTTTCGACAGGAAAAACAGATTTGGTAAACTGCAGTTGTTCTGACACATCTGCCACTCTTACAACTCGCAACAAAAGATTTAATGCAGGAACCAGAATCTCCATCTTACCACACTTTGACGTTGATTAAATCGTTTTAGAACCGCTATCTATCCCTCCGGTCGGCAGCGAAAAAAATAACTAATAATCCTAATACATTGGCTTTAAAGAGATCGTTCCCGAGAAATTTTTGGTCACTGACGTCACCCACCCTCTTCTTTGTTCTCACTTCCTCCATAACTGTTTTGTCGGTAGATTCCAAGAATCGACAAAATGTTCCACAGAAAAACCGACAAATAAAACTGAAAGTTTGCATTATTTGATCATTAACAAAGCCAATCTTCCTGTTTCAGTTTTGAACCGGATTGATTTCAAAATATACTTTGTAATCTGTGTCACATTAGAATAGGGGTGACCAAACCGCGGCTCGCGAGCTACATTCGGCTCTTTGGCCTTTTAATATGCAGCTCATGGAAATCTGTTGGGCAAGCTTTTTTCAATAAAGGTAAATAAGAGAAAATTCAAACTTTATAATTATTTACATGGTATGAATGTTTAATGTTAATGTGTATGTAAGAAAACGTATGCGTAAGTTTTGTTCAGGTCTTGCGGCTCTCAAACATCTGAACTTTATCGTATGTTGCTCTTACATTAAGCAAGTTTGGCCATCTCTACACTAGAGCGCCAGAGAAGTCAAGTGCATCAGCGGGTTGACCGGATAGATAACCACCTTTTGCCATCAGGTGCAAATTTGCACCTTCACTTGATATCAGTGACTGCTTTCGACATGTAAATGAGTGGTCGACTCAGCTGCGTTTAGGGTGAGTACACGTGGGACAACCGATGACAGGAAAGCATAAAGATTAGAGCTGGTAGAACTAACGAATGTAGTTCGTCTGAGGACTTTCCATAGAAATAGCGATTGAGACACGAGAGGCTTGCCACGTTTCATCTGTGGGAAAGGGGGTTGTAGGGTGGAAAATAATTCATCACCCACAAGGAAGCGGAAACTCTATCGAGACTAGAAAGTGAAGACTGGGCAGTGATTGCCTATATATGGCACTCACAAGAACGGGAAAGACGAATAGTTTCTTACATCCTCTCGCGAGAAGTAGAATTCACGTTCTTCGCGTGATGTTGTATCAGAAACTGGGAGAAATCCTGGGGATTAAGTTGCGTGTCACAAAAGTCATTCTGAGAAATGTTTCTTTATTCAAATTCTATTTTTTACCCTTTAAGTGATCTGTTGACTTAACATTCTATTAAGATCCCCATTTTATTGCATACTGAGAAAAATTCTAATATCCCTATTCTTAATACCTATCTGTGCGGTGTCGGGTAAAGAATAACGGCTTGAGGCGAGAAATCTGAGGGTCGTGTTCGAATTTCAGTCGGGTTCGTTTCATTCACTTACATGTAAATACCCTTGGGAAATGTATGAATTCATCTCTTCTCACCCCCCCCCCATCCCGGGAGTAAATAGCAGGACAGAATGGCCTAACAAAATAAATGCCACATTTGCCTAGGAAAAAAAAGTCCCTCAAAAGACGGAACGCGTCAGCTAAAAATAGTTTTTCCTCTTGTCTCTTTTATTCACACACACACATATATATATATATATATATATATATATATATATATATGATATTGTGTTAATGAAATATAGGGTAGATAATTTGAATGAAGTTCATACGATATATTGCTCATTCTCATATCAATATAAACATATCCTAAAATCTATGTTTGTTAATACCAATTCTGAAAATAATGATTGCATATCTGTATCGTCAAACACCATTATCCATTTTTATTATATTTATTTACTTATTTTTTTTAGTTCTTTGTCTTGCTTTTGACTCGTAGCTTTACTCAAGTCCTTAATCTACGATAGTTAAGACATTCTTCAAAATAAGATTTGATTCATGTTTTTGATGCTGTTTGTTTATGAAAAGATATGAACATGAAAAGATAGCAGATCTGATAAATTCAATTGATGAAATAAAGAAAAATTTTTCATATCTTCTCATGAAAAATTCATATCATAGAAATTTCTGATAATCTGTCCAACTCATTGTTTACGTCCGCACATGTCAAGGGTTTTTTTTTTTTTTTTAGTTGGACACCAATTTCGGTCAAGTACATTTGTTAAAATGAAATGGAAATTTTATTGAGTCATCAACATACGAATATATTTTTTTTGTGTGTGTGAAAGAGTGATTCATTCATTACTATATTTAACCCAAAATGTGAAACTCCCATTATACAGGAATCTAATATTTTACGAATTTTGTTAGGCCAGCAGTCAGCGGCGATGAGACAAAAAAAAAGGCAGATTAGAACCAAATTCAGTAACGCTTCACAGACTAATTTTAATTTTATTATAAGAAAGATTAAAAGGAAAATATAAATCCCATATATCGCACGTTGTATGCTGGCGTTAATAAAATAGTGCTCGATGTAATATAACTGAGCTATTAAGTATATATTAAAAATATACATATTATTCCTCACCATGAGCACGACTCAGAGTTTCATGCACAGTGCAAGCTTCAGGTGCTGAGTACACACTGACTGTGACATAATTTGAATTTTAATAAAAAATATCTGGTTAATGCAATGCTGGAACAGTCCATATATTACACAGGGATTAAGGGGTTTTAATTTAAAAATATATACAGGGTGAGTGAAATAGACTCACGTCTTGTAAAATTTATAGTTCGACTGGATCATACATAAAATTATAAATATATGAAGTTACTTTTCAATCACCAAAAAAGTGTGGATGGTCCTGCACGAAACCTTCACCACTCTAATCAAATCTCATGTGCTGTTGTCGGTTTCCTACGAACTGATCTGCTTGACCCTCATACGTCGAATTCGATGGGAGAGTCGTGTGTGTGTGTGTGTGTGTGTATATAAATAACAGACGGGATTTCTGTTTTATATTTAAAATAAACGTGGATTGATGGTATTTAAAAATATATTAAAATAGACGGACCTAAAACAAAGATTATTTCAAATAGACGGGATTTATTTTTTATATTAAACATAAACGGGGATTACTGTTATATATATATATATATATATATATATATATATATATATATATATATATATATGTGTGTGTGTGTGCGCACACACGCAAACAAATATAAAATAAAATTTATCACTTAGCTGATTGGCGTTATATTTAGTTTATCCTGAGTGAGGAAACTTCTCATCATGATGTATCATCAAATATATAAAATAAATTAATCAAATGTTCAAGGACTTATCGCTCGACGAGTTTTGCAGATATAAATTCGCTCCTCCTGTAAGATAAATCATTTGAATTATTAAAAAACGGATTATTTATTTATTTTACTAAGGTTCACCCTGTACAAGGCCTGTGGGGTACTCGAGGTAGAGGGTTACGTTAGGAGAGATATTATACGGATAAGAGGGGAAGATAACGGTTAACTCTAGACTTAAACATGCTAAGATTGTAATGATTGTGGAAACATCCTCTTGGGAGTCTGTTCCACAGGGCAGTGGTTCGCGAGAAGAAGCTGTTCAAGTGCAACTTCTCACCGATTGAATACGGAGGGAGTGTAGGGGGGTTGCTACAATTTAAGTAGCACGGCGGGTCCTAGCCATGAAGATTAGAGCTGGTAGAACTAACGAATGTAGTTCGTCTGAGCACTTTCCATGGAAATAGCGATTGAGACACGAGAGGCTTGCCACTTTTCATCTGTGGGAAAGCGGGTTGTAGGGTGGAAAATAATTCATCACCCACAAGGAAGCGGAAACTCTATCGAGACTAGAAAGTGAAGACTGGGCAGTGATTGCCTATATATGGCAGCAGTACTCCATTTTAGGTATGACATGACTCTTTTAACAGAAGGAGCCAGGTACTTCCTGGAGCGATAAAGAAAACCGATCATGTTGCCGCATCTTTAGCGATGGATCGAATGGACGAATTCCACTTGAGGTCTGCACTAAGTTTCAGTCCCAAGAGGCGCTTCACTAAGAGAACACCCGTTCATTGTGATGGGTTTAAATTCATAGTCTGTTCGGTGGTGATGATGGATCTACAGTAGGATGCTGAGAATATCATGAACAGAGCAAGCGAGCAATGAGAAAGTTTCAAGGAAAATGAAAAAATACAATTATACTTACAATAAATTGAATTTGTTTGGGTACATAATATGGAAAGAAGGCTTGGAGAATTTGTCACTCACTGTGCATATTGCAGGCAAAAGGAGTAGACGGAAACAGGGAGTAACCTACTTAACTGCTTTGGTAAATGAATAATAGAATAGGAATTGGGAAGGATAGTAAAACAAACAAACAAAAACATTGATAAGAACTACAGAGTATAGGTAGTTGTGGAGAGCCATGATCGACCATATCCTGAAGGAGCACAACACGAAATGATCGACGAAATTAAAAGTTAGTAAAAGTGGATAAAGTTCAGCAAACTGGCCTTACAAATGTTACCGTGTCCTCCCATCCTTACGAGGGTTCCGTATGCTTATAACCGCTGGTCACATACTTAGCATACTTTCGTAAATAATTAAGACAGGAAATACAATCCCATGGTCCTCAGCGAATTGTGACGCAAGCAAAATTACTTTCTCTTCTGATTTATATTGAAATTGGTGATCCTCTGAGTTTACGTCTGTTTTGCAGTTAACATTGTTTCTTTTTTTACTAGCAACATAAACTTTGACTGACAATTATTTAAAGAGATTTCTTGTTAAAATTGTTTCAATAATTTTATATTTTAATAAGTCAATAATAGTTTTTCTTTTTTAAAAAAAAACATTACATTTTCACCGCTTTTTTAGTTGAAAGAAATGGAATGGAAAGATATTTCTGTGTTTATTGGATGCTTCGCTCATTCAACCTGGACGACAGCTTTGGAAATATCACCTAATATGGTCATTGGAGTTTACAACGGAAAGGTAAGTGAATAGGTGCATTTTATTTGTCGTAATTCTCATGAACCCACCTTGAACAAACAATATGGCTTCCGTTTCGCCAGGTCTACCGTTGATGAATCAACGGCCATCAATGAACAACTATATCAAGCTTTCGATATGAAAGACTAAGTTCGAGCTTTGGCTCAAGATATCTCGAATTCTTTCGACAGTGTATGGCATGCTGACCTTTTACGCAAGCTCCAGGGCTACGGTCTCACAGGATGAAGAATTTAATCCAATCGTTCCTATCAAATCGTGAAATGAAGGTCGTTTTGAACGGGATCGCTTCCAGATCCTTTCTCAAGAATGCGGGTGTCCTCAAGACTATCCTGGGTCTTACGGTATTTCTGATCTTCATCAATGATCTCCCCAATGTCATCAGTTCCCAAGTACGTACTTATGCAGATGGCACTACTGTTTCTTTTCTTGCTCTTCCCATCTGTGGAACTCCTTTCTGTTTACTTATTCTCTGATAACTACAATATTCATAAATTTAAATGCAACATCAATCGCCATCTTCTGTCTTTTTAAATCCTGTGCATCATTTGTTCTTTCTTTAATCCTCCCTATTCTCAGTTTTCTCTTTCACTTCCTGTAACCCCCCCCGTGTACTAGTGTTATTCCCGCCTTGCTTGGGGTGAAATGATTGAAAAAGAAAAAGAGAAAAGTAGACGTTATAATAAACTAAAACATTAAATTGTTTTAGTCACTGTAATATAGCGACAACTCTAAGTAGAAGCCTTATTTGACTAAGTCAGCTTTAGCGCCGAAAACGTTTATTTTGTTATAGCGGATGTTTATAAGCAAGAGAGGAGATGGGAGGTGCTTATTTTATTACCACATTTACATATGGTTACTTTTTAAAACATTTTTTAAAAGCAGAATTAAATAAACTCATTAAAAGAAATTAAATTTTTTTTTATAGCTGCTTTTTTTTTTTTTTTTTACAAAATGGTATGAACATTTAAGTAAGAGCTAAATGGAAAAATTTTGCAAAACAGAAAAAAATGTTGATAAAAGTAAAGAAAAAAAGACATATAAATCGGCTGTTTTCTGTACGTTAGTTTAAGAAAATTTTAATGAAAAAAAAAAAAAAAAAAGTATCAGACGTAGTTGCGTTCTGTACCGAAATAAAACTTTTCTATCGCTTCTGATTCTTGATAAGCCATATAAAATTTACAAAGTTAGAGAAAATTCATTTAGCTGATATATTAAAGTTGTATCCAGAGTCATTAATTTATGTGTTAGAATTATAAAGAGGATATTAACAGTTGTAACTTTGAAAGTTGTTGACTGAACCGCAAACATTTTTTGTGGTGGATAGTCACTAAACAGGCAAGAATAATCTTTTGAGTTTTCGGTCTTGTAGAAGTCAGTTAAAAAATTTAAAAACCTAGTCTGACCTGTTATTTAACCCATAGCTTAAGGAGAAGAGATAGAAGCATACCATTTCCCATGGGTAATTATACGAAAGTTAATGTAAGGAACTCTAGTGGAGTTTCCATTTCCCAAACTGCACATCGTAAACATGCTTGAGCAATGTTTGTTCGATGTTTTTGACTCTTCAGATTCATTTTACCGCCTTCAGAAGTTGTATTAACTGAGATAGAAAAAGAAGTTTAAATTCGATGAACATAAAAAAATCAGCGTTGCGCCATATTTAAAATCTATGAAGGATTGAAATGATAAAGAAAATGGCAGTAAGAAAATACCTCTCAGAGAGAAAACAGTTTTGTTCTCCAAGAAGAAAAGTTCTTGCTGGAATTATGTTCCTTTTTTTGTTTCCAATCATTTCGCCCTAAGCAAAGCAATAAAGCCATTAAAATCTAAAGAGTTACTAAGTGTAAGAGAATAGAAGAGAAATACATTAAGAAAAGAGAACAATAAAAGAATGGGAATTAAGGAGACAAAAGATAATGATTGACATTTCATTTAAATCTTTGAAGATCAAAGTTGACTGGAATACAAAAAGCAGGAAAAGAATTCCACAAGCCAAAACTGCGAGAGAAGAAACGGTTAGCATTCCAACCTTAAAATGATGAGACCCAACTGCCAATCTAGTACTGCGCTTAAACTTATAATGTGTAGGTTGCAAGGAGGAAAGCAAATCAGATCAATTACTATGAAATTATTTATAGAAACGACAGGAGGAGACTACGTTATGGCAGCGGGAAAATGATTGAAGGCGAGTTGCCAGGTCAAGACCAATAACATTACAGATTATTTGTATTTCGGAACTGCACATTTAACATCCTGGGAACCGGATATGTTTTAACCGACGTTTTAATCCAATAGGTCCCGATTCTTTTGGACAATACAAAACTGTCATTTTGAATCCTTGCGCTGTAATCATGTGGTACAATTTCTTTAGACTTTTCTTAATTAGAGACTGCTAGGTGGTATTTATCTCCATCCTAGGTCTACTGAAGAGGTTATCAGTCTAAAATATGTGCAGATTCTCATCCTCCAGAGTTGTTCTATGATCTTGACTTCATTCAGTAGAGGTTGATAGTCGTTTCTCTCTATATACATGATCAATGATGGCCGATCTCAGCGCGTGTTTCTCTTCAGAATGAAGCCTTTTGATGACCCACCACACTTAAATTTAGGAAGCTATTGGTCCTTCCCTCGAATTATTTGCCACAACTGCATGAGAGGATATGTGACACACGAGGTGACATTAGTAAAGGAAAAAGGATTAATTTAGAAATATGAACTGGAACAAACGGAAAGGGTTAAAAGTACGGAATAACATAACTGAAAGAAGGAAGAAAAAGATCTGATAAGAACGACTTTATTGGTTTTGGGGAAAGATATCAGAAGCCATGTGTAAGATTTCATCTATGAGGACTGAGAAAACAGTGAACGTACATTTAAGGTCAGTTGAGAATTTTGGAAACGAAAGCAGAAATGGTGAAATTGATTTATGTCCGCTTACTTAAAGTGAAAGTTACGAAAATATGTCTCGTGATTGCCAGACGGAAGAAGGTGTCAATTGGGTTATAATATTTGATAATTTTGAAGACTAAGGCAGAATTGAAAAACTGATTTATACCTGCCTGTCAACGAGCGGAAATAGCTCTGTAAATGTAAATAAATCGAGAAATAGGATTTATATTCTTTGCTCGAAGAAATTGAGAGATAAGAAACGAATCTGTAAGATTCATAAGTACAATTAAGCGAAGAAGATATGAAGACAAATATTTGTTAATAGTGGAATCGAAGGAAACAGCAGGTAAATCTCTGCATAGAGAAGACCAAGGGCTGAGAAAATTCGTTTGAAAATTAAGATAATTACAATTAATGACTAATAGTTAAGACTGCCCTTTCACCCACTCGATTTAAAAATCAGATTTGTCAAAGAGACAGAAGAAGGGGCGGACTTGGATGAGATACTAAGGGATAAGCAGAAATTTCCTTCGCTCATTTGGAAGGAGATACCTGCAACCACCACTAGTAGGGTGAGCGGTTCTCCCAAATTTGGAGAGAGAACTAATATTGCGAACCAGACAACAAAAAACTCCTGTTTAAATCGATACAGAAACCTGGCCCCCACCCCCCAGACACCCCAAATTCTGTCAGCGCCCACTTCGGTCTTGAAGTTAATATAAGCAGAGCGCATAGGCGACACAGAGTGTGTGTGTGTGTGAGAGAGAGAGAAAGAGGAAGGTGCTAACTGAGATCCAGGTAACTTGCTGCTAAGAGAACTCCAGAGTTTGAGCCCTGTTCCAAGAATTAGCCCCGATAGGCAAAATGTCAGTATAGAGATTTCAGTGGGAAGAAAAAACCCTACATAAATCAAGTCGAAAACTAACCCGAAGACATTTCTAATTTTTTTCTTCATAACACAGCTTCGTCGTAGTTCGAACCAGCACTACGATACTCGATCCCCATAACGTGGGCGGGGCGAGGTGTGGACTGGGACGATCAGCGTGGGATTGACCCTGCAATCCACTCATCGTCATACGACCCCGAGGACCAAGTCATCTTCTGGTATATGCGGCGTGTGGCAAGGGTCATATCATCTGGTCACTGCTCACCAGGTTTGACCCAGGATCGATTGGGGTGTGGTGTTATAGTTATACACACAGTTCTTCGTCAGGTTTTCTTCAGATGTGAATTCTTGATTTGGGAAAGATATTTCCAAAGTGTTGAACTGCTTTGGAAAAGTATCCTGATGTTGTATGAACCGCAGATTCATTGAATCTTTTCAGATGTACCCATTATTCATGCTAGACCGTGACTCATTTTTGTTGTTCTCGACTATTCTGATCCTGCTCGTGGAAACCGATGCTATAGTATTTATCACCTTGAAATGTGTTTCTAATGCTGATCATCTTCTGTTAGTGTCTAGATTGTCACTAATGAGTGGGACATTATTGTGAATAGGTAAATTAGCCAGGAGGACCAGAACATTCCCTCGCTGGAAATTATCAAGATTTCTTTCAGGTTTTTCTTTGAAGTTTGTTCATAGAACATAAATATTATTAACCATTTGGATCACGTTTTTTTCTCAAAAGCAATTTTGTCAATTTCAGAGTCTCTGAAGAATGAAAGTTACGAAAATACTTTGGTTGGTGTGTAGTTTTTATTTGAATTCGTTCTCTTCGGGGTCGCATCGTCGTGATATCTTGAGTATCCTCTGGTCTAAACAATACAAAATGTAACGATATTTTGGTCAGTACTCCCATTGGGTCACCGATTCGTCATCGAATAGTTCCAAGTTCTCGTTCCCACAACACTTTCTGCGCCAATATTGGATTGAAAAAATCCGAAGAGGTTAATTATGATCGCACAAACATGCTGTGTTCTGAGGAGTGGTAAAAAGGTCTTAGTGGAAACGCTGTCTAGCAGAGTCGGTCCGTTCACAATCCAAAGTAGCCATTTTGTGTTGATGACTAAAAACTGAACAGGCACTTGTGAATAAGTAGAGAATTAAGTTTATATTGAACACTGCTGCCATATCTGGTCTGGTGCTTCTGCTATTCATCTCGAGATTCTTGACAAAATCTAAAGGATCTGCAATATAATCGATCCTGACCTGGCATCTCGAATTCAGTCACATTCTCAACGACGTAACGTGGCATCCCTCTGTCTTTTCTATAAATATTATGGCAACTGCTCTGACGCACTCCTCCACCTCCTGTGCCCCGACTACATGAATTTAAGCGTGCTACTAGATTGGCATCTAGGACCCACCCGTTTATTGTTGAAATATCTAAATGCAACCGCCACTTCTACTTATTTTGGATTGAGTTTGTATTTTTATTTTATAAAGCATTCATGCTAATCGATCGTTTTTGTTTTATTTTGATTTAGATTTTGTTCATAGAAAACAAGGAAAACTTGCCAAAGCTTATAAAAGAGTACAACCTCCTGAAAGAACGTATAAGGTACCTTGAAGACAGGTAAGTCGATTATTGTGACTCGACTTTAACTAGCTTAAAGGCCACAAATCGTGCCGACTTTTAAGCTAGCTCCTGCATAGGGCTAATTGGACCTCCGAGCCAAAACTAAAAGGGAGACTCTGGTCCAGCTTACAAAACAGCAATGACAATTTTGAAGAAATAACACCGAATTCCTCAATTCACTACATGGAACTTCAAAACCTCACTTTAACTCTGATTTGGACTAAGTCCAATTCCGACCAAAAACCAATTTGGGCCGAAATTCCAATTCAAACTGAATTCTTTAAATCACAAACTCTGCGGAACTTCAAAACCTCACGTTACTTGGCATTTTGAAGAAATAAAATTGATTTCAATTCAAAATTTTTGAGATATTTTAAATTTAAAAAAAAAAAAAAAAAATCAAAGTTTAAGATTAAGACAGTATTTACATTAGTCGGACTATTGTCCTCATCTTTGTCGCCATATTTGTCACAACGTTTCGGCCGTTGTACGCTCCGGCCTTCTTCAGGTGGTTGGAATTTCGAACTGAACCCTTTATTTCGATCGCTGGGGTAGACTGTTCTAATTCCACGTGCCATGTTTGATGGATGTCAGTTATCAGTTATCTCCTGCTAATTTTCCCTCTGAAAGTTCTCCACTGCCTTAACCAGGAATTGAACTCACCTTCTTTGGGTCTGTCACTGGATCTAACCAACGCCTTTATCCACTGTGCCATGTGTCCTTGAGGACATCTGGGTATGAACTTCTGAGTATTATAAACCTAATGTTTTCAGCATCATTTTTACCAGTGCTCATATTGCAATTTTTTTGCTGTTATCATTGCATGTCTTTACCAGAGTTCATATTGCAACTTTTGTTATCATTGCTTTTCTCTGGCACTCCTTATTACTGGTTCCCATATTGTATTTAAACTCTAAGATTAAGACGTTATTTTAAAAGTAATAAATTAAAAACCTTTTAAAAATCACTAAATATTTTTCGGTTATTTTAAAATTTGAATTTTTAAATGTTCCAACCTCAACTGGACACACATCCTAAAGCTTAGGTACCTCTATGTGATCGCTTAAAAAAAAAAAAAAAAAAAAGAAAAAAAAAAGCATAGCATGATGAAAAAGACGCCAAACTTGAGGAAAACAAAATTTTATCGACTAAATGCTTATGTTATTATTAAGAGGAAAGATCAAAGTTTATTTTAATTATTTTAAAAAATTTTTCCTTCTTTTTAGAACATTCTAAATTTTGATTAAAATTTTTTTTTTTTTTTTTATATCACCGGAACTACTAAAATAACAATTTTTAGCACGGTTTTTTTTTGTATGACACACATTAATTTGGAAAATCTTGCAAAAATAAAAATAATTGTCGGATGTTAATGAATTTTTCAGAAACTATTCACAGATGATCGAAATTATAAATATGTTTTCTTTTATTAAAGTTATGGTAGAAATGTTTTTTTTATATTTATTACCCTCCCCCACCATAACTAATTTTATGAAAACGCTAGAAATTCTATCGCGTCAGGTTTAGTGATTACAATAGTTAAAAGCACAAGGCTTTGAGGAATGCAAATAATGTTTTTTTTTTTTTCGTTTTTAATTGGACCCCCCTACCTGAAAATCAGCTCTGAATTTTAACATTTAAAACTCAATAAAACAAAGATATTATTTAATTTCAAATGCTTTTATTTGCTTTTAGTTGTTTTTATGAATATGGACAATATTTTCTGAAAGCAAAAAAAATTTTCAATGAAAAACGAATTCTCAATTATTTGTTATTTCTTTAATTATAATAGATTTTTACATTAATTTTTTAAAATATTATAAAATTAGTTAAAAAGCCGCATCGGGTTTCCTAAGTCTCCTTTTTAGCGCGTTGTAAATTGTATTATTTTGACTAATCAGAAGATCCGAAGTAATTAAAAAATGTAATTTTTTGTGTTTATAATCAGGCTGTAATTATAATGTACGGAAGACCAACCAGAATATAATTAAGTTGCGTTATTTGAGTTAAGCATTGTTCTCCGCTGTTAAGGCCTTTATTTTTGCGAAACATGTGTGGAGAAGTTAATTTGATTTTTCAATTTCAACTGAGAAGGGTACCTACAAGTATCAGTATCATCTTGACATTTATATGATCATATTATTTTTATATTAATCTCAGTTATGACATTTTCCATAAATGAAATATCAAAATTAATAATAAAATGAATGCAAATACAAATAACACAGTAAAATGTAATAAATGTACATAGAATTATAGTATTTTATGTACAATTCTGAAAAAAATTTCATAAGAAAGGTACCTATAAATTAATTAGATACCTTTCTTATGAAATTTAATCTCACTCTTAATTTCTTTATAATATATTTTCCATAAAGCATCGTAAATGTAAAAGCTAAGTACAAAAAAAGAAAAAATTAGAGCGCTGAAAGTTTTGCTTAAAAATAACAAGGTAAATAATTTGTTCACTTAAATGTAAATAATTTCACTTTTCTCCTTCTGTAGAACAAATTATCCTCACGGAATCCGTCAATATGTCATTCATCACCCGTCAAGTGACGCGAAAGTTTATGACATGCTTTGTTTTATTTTCAAATTATATCTTTTCGGCGCAGAAACTAAGTTAATCTTGGTTCAAAATATTTTAAATAAACAATTTCTGATTTTCTTAAAATAAGTTTTGAAAAAAAATGATAACTGATATTTAAAAGAATTTCAAAGTGAGATTTCCATTTTTTTTATAAAATGGAAAAACATGGTTGTCATCTGTCAATTTTGCTGACTCAAAAAAAAAAAAAAAAAAAATTTAAAAATTTCGGACGTGCTAGGAACGATTAAAAATGTAAAAAAAAATACCCCCAAAATACTTTGATTTTTCCTCTTAATAATAACAAACATTTAGACGATAAAATTTTGTTTTCGTCAAGTTTGGCTTCTTTTTCATCATGCTATGCTTTTTTTTTTTTTTTTTAGCGATCTTGTGGAAGTATTTACCAAAGCTGCATGTCCAAGGGCCAGATGAAGAGCAGATTTTCAATTCTGGGATCATGCTGATTCCAAAAAGAAATGTCTCAGTAGAGCAAGTGTATTCCGAGTTAGAGTCACAGTCACACAGACGGACAGAGAGAATTTATCATTTATTTATTTAGATGAGATTAGAAGTCAGTTATGTCAAGTTCGTCACGCCTTTCGTTTACTTGGTCTCAAAAATTTCCAACACCGTTGACCTCCGCATGGACGTCAACAGTAGACGTAAACTAGCTGAATAATAAGGAATTGAAAATAGATTAATTTGGAAACTTTTTTTTTTTTTTTAATGATTTCACTCAATAAGTCAATAATGCAAGGAGTTATTCAACGTGAAAGAGAATGAAAAATTTATTAGGTGAGGAGAAAAGACAATAAAAGACAAGTTTCAGAAAAACGGCGATCAACGTTTTTTGACATTAAAAAAACGTTAATAACACAAGACTTCCATATTAAGATAAAAATAATATTTAATTACAACCGCAAATAAATACTTAACAAGAATAAAAAGTAAAAGTCCACCAAAGATAATTAACCATTTCAGTGAATACCTTGTTAGTAGCGCGGCTCGGTTTAACGTGCTGTTGTGGTTGATGGATAGTGGTAATAGGCCTACAATGTCGATATGCACTGTTTAAATAAAGTCGATGGCGGTAAGAGTGGAACCACCATTGACTTACTATGATGATTCACTTTACTTTGTTGGCAGAACTCTTTTGCCTATAAACGTATTTTTTGTCTATGTCTGGCCATAAATAGCGGTACTTGATCAGTGACTTAAGTCCTGGATGTGACATTTCGAAGTTCAAATTAAAGTTGGGTTCTGTTTATTTTCCTGTCACTTGTCACTTTTATATGGAGTTAAAAAATAATTTATGCATTTTTCACATTCGCACTCTCAATCTAGCCGAAATCATCTGTATTCTTTTCTCTCTTTCACTTTTTTTTTCCCCGACTGTCTCACACTAGGACAATATAAAATCTACCAAGTTGGTGAAATATCGTAAAAGCCAGGACGCAAATTTATTGTGGTTGAACTAGCGATCAAGGCACTTTCAGACATTTTCGTCTCAGTGGATTATTTTCTCTTTTAATCAAAGTAGCATTCTCTATGTCAGAATTGTAGTCCATTGTAAATTCCTACTTCATGTTTTTGCTAATTGTTTTTTTTTGAAATTTGCGTCCAGGCTCTTGCGCAAATTTTAAATCTTAAAACGAATTGTTCAAAATAACACTCGTGTTTACAGATTTGATCAAATAAAATCATCTATAAATGGAAATTTAAGAACACACATACGGAGGATATATGATGAAACTAGATATTTTAATCAAGAAGTGTTCCAGTTTGTGCATGATTATAATTTTTTTGAAGTCTTGTAGCAGTAATGTGGCAGGGGCGATGTCACCCCTGAAATAATAAAGGTGAATATGCTGTAAAACAGAAAACATTAAGTGAAGAGAGACGTTTTCAAATAACCAAGATGTTAAAATGCTGTAAAGACTTTGAAATGTAAATGTTACAGAAAGTTAATTTAGAACACGAAATACAATCTTTTGTAAGTGTACAAAGGATATCAGATTACTAATAGAAGATTACCGGAACAATGATAATTTGGAACTTTTAAATAAAGAGATGGATTTTGACACAAGAATCGAAATTAAGATAAAGGATGTTTTGATTTAGAAAATACTTTTGAAGCAAGACTCTGTAGTTTATAAAAAGCGGCAGAGTGGTTTATAGCGAGGTGATAAACAATTGTCTTGTTGTGGATCTTGAAACCAATCGATGAAAATTGTTTACTCTCGGAGGAGTGAAATTGTGCTTTTTAAAGCATGTCAGTACGTTCACACTAGAAAAACAGATAGTCACCAGTTTCTCTATATAAAGAGGCGAGCCAATCGGAAGATAGGAATGTTTCGGGTTCGTCTGTCTTCAAATGCAGTCGAACTGGTGGAGTGACATCAGAAATTGAAAAGCAAGCGTCCGTTGTTGCTGAGCTGAGGGCGAGGAAAGGAAATCCCACCGCTAACATCTAAGTACCGCTATTCCTGCTGCTACTACTACTACTACTAAGAATGGGGAACGTCGAAGGTTGTAGTAGTTGCACTAAGAACAGACCAAGAAGGGTTATAACGAAGGCCACATCTCTCCTTACCGAAAGTATTTGTGTTTGTTTGGTTATTGTACAAAAAAAGACATTCAACTTTGTGCAACAAGAATTTTGTGTGTGTGTGTTGTGTGTTTATTTATAAATTTTGTCCATTCAAAATCGAATCGACTTTGTTATTTATTTTCTGTTAACCAGATTCTCATCCGACGAACTCTCAGGTGGACCAACGAAGAGCTTCCGGATTTCTACGATTTGATGACCACTTTTCAGGATCAAAACAATCACAACGTGGCTGGAGGGCGGCTTGAATTAACATTGGGAGCCGGAGATTTGTCTATAACCTGTAATATAAAACCATACCGGACCAAAGGTGGTTCTGGTGGAGTGCGTGAATCCAGTGGGGGTGAGGATACAATGTTACAGTAAAATGAATTAACGTAAACTAGGGAAGACATGAATGGTTACATCGATCAGAGATCGATGAGATAAAAAAACAAAAAACAATTAACAACCGATAGGTGATTGGTGGAAACAAAAATAGCAATTATGGAACGTTGCTTTAATTTATCAAGATAGAATAAATCCAGTATAACTAAAATTAATTCGGCCCACTTTCCGTCTGCCTGGTCAACCTAATGAATACGTTTTTTTTTTTGTATTATTTAGCCAATTCTACGTAGAATTATCGGAAGATTAAAATTCTGTGTCTTGTGCCACTTATCAGCATTGGGGTCATCTGGTTTTCAGAAAACGAAAAAATCTCGGGAACGAAAGATTAATTGCCTGAAAGTACATTAATGTCAAGAGAAAGGCAAATTATCTATTTAAAGAACCTGCATGGCATGGTAAGAACTTAGTCCATCTGTCCGCTGTAATAGAAACACTTTTTTAAGCAGACTATTATATGAACGAACACACACACACACCATTACTACGCTACTATGTGTCATATTGGCAGAAGATGATGCCGTAAAACTCAGCTTTTTGACGTGCATTCCTATGTTTTAAGAGACGACAGTTATAAAATGCTGACCTGGCGATGAATGTGCATTGATTGTGCGCGCAAATTGAGAAATTCTATTTCAATCAAGTTGAAGAGGTGTCTACATCACAGCAGAAAACCACAAACACGGTGGATTTGACGAGGAATTTGAAAGCTGTTGAGATTACAAAATCCACCACAATCAATAACTGTTAATCCCGTTGCAAGTTCATGAAATAAGTTAAGGAATACTTCGGTATGAAAATCTGCAGTAAAATGTAACACGGATAAAAGTTTAAATGAAAAAATAAACAAAAATATGCATACATGTACATCATTTAAATGCTTCGAAAATAAAATGTTTCCAAAGATTGAATTTCATTGAGGTTTTTTTTTATTTATTTATAAATGTAACATCTATTTTGGGGTTAATTTAATCCATTAAATGTAACAAGAACTGTGTACCGTTGTCCCATAAGAGTTGATAAATTTAGTGTAACTGCAATGTTATTGGTCCTGACCTTGGTCTATACTACCCTGGTTGAGTTTAAGCGCAATACAAGAATAATTTCGTCTCTCGCACTTCTCGCTTGTGGAACTCCCTTCCGGCTTCTTATTTCCTAGTCAACTCCGATCTTCAAAATTTTAAATGTAATGTCAATCGTCATCTTTTGTATCATTGTATCCTGTTCTTTTATTGTCCTCTCTTTAATTATGATTTCAGATTCTTTCACTCTCAGTAATCTTTTGCGTCTTTGTTGCTTTACTTGAGTGATTTTTTTTTCATTATATATATATATATGTGTGTGTGTGTGTGTGTGTGTGTGAATGTTTAGAACTATTATGGAGGCAGAGGTTGTAAACTTTTTTTTTTAACTTACATTTTTGCAGAGAAATTTTGATTCCGGGTTTTGTTGACTGCCATAACCACGCGTCCCAGTTTCTCAACTCAGGAGTCGGTTACGACGTGCAGCTTCTTGACTGGCTCCATAAATACACATTCCCGCTCGAGAAAAATTCGAAGATGTCCAATTCGCCAAAGATGCTTACATAGCAGCCGTGGTTCGTTCTTGACAGACTTTTCTTTCTTTCAACTATCCTCTTTTTTCATTCTACTTTCTAGTAACATTCGTATTTAAGGAACGAAAGAAAAAATAACAAGTTTAGTATTAAGTTTACTTAACTGCAGAAATTGAATCCATGTCTTCTAAAGAAAAACATTAACTCATAAATTAGGACTAATGGCAAAAATTTCATTGATAGAGAGTGAAGATGAGAAGCAAAGAAATTTCGATCAGCCACAAACATTACTGAAGTTTGTAGGGGAGTCATAACTCTGAATAACTAATTATAAGCCACCTAACATTTAGTCTTAGAAAAGGAGACAAGACGTGGAAACAACAAAACGAGTATTATTTATTATCTGGGCGTTGGAGAAGCGAGAGACAGTAATACTGAGTTTGGGGTCAAATGTAGATCAAATATAGATCAGAATCCGACAGAATAAGAAAGAATAAGTAAAATATATACAGTCTTTCTCGTGTGTGTGTGCGTGTGCGTGTGCGTGTAATGAGTGTGCAGATAATTTAGTTAGAAGATACAAGTGCCTGGAGTTTTCTTACCTTGAATTTTTGTTGAATAATAAGAGATAAATGTTACTACTATGACCTGAAAAAGGAAAAAAAGAGATGAAATTTTTGTTGACGCGCGTGTTGACGCCGTGTCAGTGCTGACTGCTTGTCCGATAGTTATAATGTCACGTGTGTGTATGTGTGCGTGTAGAGGAGAAAAGTGGGTTGATTCTTATTGATTTAGAGAGACTGAATTAATTATAATTGTTATAATTAATGTTTTATTTATGTATTTCTTTATGGACACGATAAAATGTAGAAAACTCTTTGTTACAGGTCAACCTGTTCTTTAAAAACTTTAAAAATGGATAGAATTTTCTTTGTTGAAAGCCCTTGCGAAAAAAAAACCTTGGGGAAGGCTATGAATCTATTTATTATCCTAACTATAGATTAAATAGTTCAGATTGAGCTCTTTAGCCGTGGTTGGCAATTAGTCTAAGAGATGAATAACTGAAATTAAAACCGGCTGGGTGTGGAGCTAGCAGCTCCAAGTAAAAAAACTACGAAAGCCACAGTATCATTACTAGTGTAATGAAACTTTGACCCTATATACTACATATAGGAATTTGGTTGGTTGATTTTGTTTAACGGCTTATCAACACCTCTATGGGTTATTTAATGCCGAAATCTAAATATTTTGAACGCAATTGTATGCCTTCAACTATAGAAAAAAATGTATTTTTGGTAACTTTATTATAAATAGATATTGTTGGTAATTTTTTTATATAAAAATGTATTGCTATCATAGTGTCTGGGAGATCGCGATTTTTCCATAGCTGGGGACCCTAGAAGGGGGTGCTACCACCCGGTGTCATGGTGGACCTGGGAACAACAACAAAAATTAAGATGTGGTTCCACGCTCCTCAAAAGCTGCAATCTCTCGATCAAAGGTCCTGCTACTGGATCTAATCTATCGTCATATCGAAGACTGGAGTGAGAAACATTCTTATCTCTCTCTCAATTAGCACGAAGATTGACATATAAAGTTTTCAGAACTACAAGATCAGGATTTATATGTAAAATAGAAAGAGGCGTCAAAATAGACCTAAAAATGTTATTCCAGGTGATTAAAACCGAATTAGTCGGCATTTCTTTTCCTTCATTTGTCTTTAGATAGACAGCCTAAGCTGAACGCCACCCAAACAGAATAGAAATTAATCGGACTCTGTGAGTTTTTACTTGTCAAAGCAATTCAATGAAGCGAAGGGATTAGTACTGAGGACTCTCCCATCTTTTCATTGATTACAACTAATTCGGATCATCAATAAAATATTTAGCCTGTGGGCAGCCATTCTCTTATATTTGCTTTAGAGTCCCAAATATCTGGAGAACAAAAGGAATCTTCTCCTTCTTCCGATATTCGGTGTAGTCCTTAATTTTATCAAAACATTACTACATTTTATAAAAGGAGAGATTTTATTGTCATAACCAATAAACTACACCCAGCAGAAAGGCCTCTGATGGGAAGATTGAAAGGTTTAAAGAGAATAGGACCGCCTCTTAATTAGTTGTTTCTAGTTCCATTCGAACCCGGAGTGGTAGAACCTGTTAAGGCTTGTGGGGGTCAGTCTATCCGGATTTTTGTTAAAATAAAATCCGAGTGTCACGTCTATAAATACAACGGGAAGAAATGATCTTTGCAGAAAAGACCAAAGCTAAATATGACATCTATGAGGCCAGATACGTGGATTTACAGATATAGGAAAAAAAAAATCAAAAAAATCAATGTTCTTTGTTGTGGGCATGAAGAGATCAATAGTTTGATTGTTCGCAATGATTGGTTGCAAGTGAGTCTGCAGAGTTTCGAAGTGTTTATGTTACAAGTGAGGTAATCAAGTGATATGGTACGCCAATAAGTGTGTGTGTGTGTGTGTGTGTGTGTGTTAAGCACACGCTAATGAGACGTTTATGACCGACTGAGTGCGATAGCAGTAATTTTAAAACACAAAGTATCCAGTTTAGCGAACTTTTTACATTCTAAAGAGAATATCAGAAGTCATAATAATCAGATACAAAGTGAGGGTCCAGTTTGCGATTATACCTCTGTTTTAAGTTGAACCTCCATTGCTCGTTTTCATTTTCTCAAAAATAAAAAAATATAACCCCAAAAGTAAATACCTTTTACTTAAAGAGCAGAACAAAGTACATCCGGGGGGGGGGAGAAGTTCATTTTAGTTTAAACGAATTTTTATCAAATGTAATCTTCGATGAAAATTCTTTCAGAGTACTTTTGTGAAGAATGGTACCACAACTGCCTGTTACTTTGCAACTATTCACACTGATGCATCTCTCCTTCTATGCGATATCGCAGGTATGGATTTTCATTACACTTTTTAGACGCGAGTTTCTACTAAAAACTTTGGGAATGAGGTTATGGAAAAAAGAAAAAAAATACTTAATCGTCACGCCTAGTTTCCGCCGTCTCCTTCGAAATATCCTATTTCTTGCTACTAATACACTAATTCAGAGAGGGTAGTGACAAAATTCATAGTATATTCGGCTTGCGAGTGTTGTTCAAATCCCCACTGACTTTTGTTAGGTTCACCTGGTAAATGAAGAAAAAAAAATTGGAAATATACGCTTGCTTTTTTTCCCCCCTTTTTTTTGTTTATATAGTGTAGTTCAGAATACGTTAAATTCTTTATTGTGTGTAATGCTTGAATGAATTAAGATCATTCAAATCCAAGATGTCTGAACCCCCGAAATTATTTTGAAAACGATGAATAATATTTGGTTCTAAATAATTTATTTTTGAGATCACCTTAATTAGAGGAACCTCAGATTTTTTTTTTTCAGAAACTTGGGATTCCACAGAAAGCACTCTGGGAAAACATTACTCGAGGCGATCTTGGGTTCATTAATATTAACATACAGTTAATTAATATTAATATACAATTGGCTGCGCCAGATTTAGTTTCGACCAGCACCGCAAATTATTGCAAAACCAAAACATCACACTGAAAAGTCGAATCATTTTTAAATAGCCTCGTCAGATTGAGACTTCAATATGGATGTCATGGCGCCAAAACCGTTCAAAATTATCTAAACCATCAGCCGCTTTTTAAGATCAATGGTAAAAAATGACTTTGGGCGAGTGAAGCCTGAGGGTGTTGACAAAGACCAACCCACTTTGAACCTTGTGGACTGGCGCTACAGAATCAAAAAAAAAAAAAAAAAAAAAAAAAACTGTACCAGATAAGAGAAATCACATCACTAGAGGACTACCAACAGCAGTAACAACTAAAATGAATAGCACATATAACTCAAAGAGAATATAATGAGATAATCAAGATGTTGAAGTTCTCCATTACTTCAAGTAAAAGATTATGAAGGAAATCCCCCATCAATACTGGAAAGAGCAATAACAGCTACTGAACTCGAGAAACGTATTTTCCTGAAAAATTGTTTCAAGAGAAAGATTTTATAAATTTCAGTCAATAGTATTACTGGCTGCTCGGTCAATGAATGCCAAATGTTTTCTTGGAGGGAAAAGGAAGTTAGTTCTGGCTTCGTATCAAAACTCAATTTGAAAAGTTTTGTTATCGATGTTGAATTTATTTGGAAAAGATGTTAGAATAATCCCGAACTTATACTGGGAGTAAACCGGCTGCAGACGGATAGAAAAGAAATTGAAAATAGAAAGGGACGTGAGACAAGGATGAATTTTCTCTCCAAATGTATTCAACCTCTACAGCGACAACAGCCCAAGGGAACTGGTCGACTCCAAAAGGAAACCAGAGGAGCTCCTAGACAGGCTGGTAGAAGAAAGCGAGAAAAAAGGACTAAGCAAACTGCAAGAAGACAAAGTATGATCACCAGCAAGAGAAAAAGACTAAGATGCGATTTACGACTTAATGATGTTGACATCGGGGAAGTGTTTTAACAGAGGATTGTAAAATGTGACACCGAGATCCGAACACACATTGGAATAGCGAAAGCTAAGCAAGGTGTTGAGAAAAGGAAAACTTTGGTTAGAATCAAAGAAAAGAGTGCTAGAATGCTATCCATCTTTTTATGTGGCCGTGAATGTTGGACAATTTCCCTAAGGATAATGAAAAAAAAAAGGACAACAGAAATGTGGTTCTACAGAAGGATACTGAGAATTCCATGGACAGAAGCAATGAGGAAGTCTTAAAAGAAAATGGCAACAGAAGGAACACTTATATTCAAAACCAGAAAAAGACCGGCTAAAATTCCTTGGACACAAAATGAGGAAGGAAGTCCCCAAGGACACATGGCCCAGTGGATCAAAGCGTTGATTGAAGTCATCCAGTTTGACATGACCCAAAGAGTTTTGAGTTCAATACCTGGCTACAGGGTGAACAAAAATTTGAAGAGTTGAGTTAAAGGGAAATAACTGATACTGAGAAGAGGCATGGTACATGGAACTAGAACAACCTACCTCAGTGGACGAAATAAAGAGTTCGGTTCAAAATTCCAATCATCTAAAGAAGGGCGGAGCGTACAACGGCCGCAAAGATGAGGACAACAGTCTGAACAATGTAAATAATTACAATACCGCATCGCAGAAATATAGACAGATGATGAGGAAGGAGGCTTGGAAAACCTAACCCTCACGAGGCATATTGAAAAACAGAGGAAGGCAACGAGCCACTTACTTGACGAGTTTGTGTAATGGATGAAGGAACGAGGGTGGAGCGTAACAAAAGGAGAAAAGAGCCCCACAAGAGGGAAAGTTATGGAGGGCCATGATCGCCTACGTCATGAAGGGACGCAGCACAGAGAAGATTTATAGTTCGATATTAACTTGTTGGAAATGAAATCGTGTATTTCCACATCGCCCAATGTGTTCGTAGCTATCAGAGGTGTTCGCCTGCATGCTCATCACGAGTCCCGTAACTCATTAGGGTCACGGGGGGCACCACATGTACTGCAGCCGCAGTAGAAATGGTGTGTCCTAGGCATGGACAGCCTGACGGAGCCCAACCCTACCCAGGCTGGTTTTGACTTCAGAGTTTTTCCTTCTCCTAGACCGGTTGCCACACAGGGATATAGAACACAGTCCGTCCTGCTATTTACCCATAACTAGGGGGAGAAGAGGTGGATTCATGCCTTTCCGAAGGGGTATTAGCACGTAAATTAATGTAATGAACTCAACTGGAATTCAAACTCGCCTATCCGATTTCTCATTAATCCATCGTGCCTCATGTTAATTATGAGAATTTCACATGGGAATCGCAACATCTAAATCTTGATTTAAATTTTGATCGAAATGAATTATTAGATTCACTCATGAATAATTTCCTTTTCTCTTATCAGCTTGATTCTTCATAAAAAGGGGGGAAAAACAGTACAATTGAATTTTATTTAATTCTATATTTACCATTAATTGCAACGATCTGATACCTTTTCAGTAAAATTCCGCAGGTTTTGATATGAACAAGTTTTTAACGTACTCTTCAATCTGGTTTTCATTAGAGAAAGTCCGCCCTCCTCATTAAAGCGTTTTGAGATGATTCAAAAAAAAAAAAAAAAGATGGGGAGGGGAGATTAATTAGTTGGTACAAATTCAGGCGAGTAAAGTATATATATATATATATATATATATATATAAAGACCGATTTCCAATATATTTTCCTTTGTCTATCTTGCTCTATACGACTAAGTTCCCAGCATTTTCCTTTAATCCGCTGTGTACGCTGCCATAGCTGTGCAAAATCTAACGTATGTTAGTGTACTCCAAACTTATTAACTGCAACGCATGATTAGTAAGTAGTTAGGATGATTGTAAAATATAAACTCGTGACGGACGTACGTCCAATTTTTGCACCGATTTAGTTTTTCTCAGTCATTCTTTGATGTTTCGTTAAATAACTTTGTCAGCGCTGCAATAGATTTGCATTTCAACCTGCATGTGAGTTTACCGCGAAAAGCATGTTCATTTGGATATGTCGAATGAGTACATTTGACGATTTACAAACTTTATCACAGATATTTGCAGATCGAACCTTGCTGAATATCGTAGTACACACAACGCTCTACTGGCTAATGGCTGATAAGCCTAGCCTAGCACAGATCTCACAATTAGATATTGCCTCAAATCCAACAATATCTTTTCTTCGCAGCTCCTTTCATCTCCGAATGAGAAATTCGTTTCCTCTCAAAATCTTTTACTTACACCATTGGAAACGAGATTTCGTGTTGAGTTCTGTGTCGTCTCTGGATCCCCCGCGCTACTACATAAAATGGTATCAACGAAAAGGACGATTTCTTTTTCTTATTCGTTTTTATTAGAAGAGGGGGTAGACGCAGCAGTTTGGATTCTAAGAGGCAGCGGGAAGAATGACGTCATGTGAACGCATGTTGCACGTTGGCTCAGCGTCCCCTTAGCCGGTCTCTTGAACATGGGTGTGGGAATCGTATCGACCCTTTAAAATTCTTGTGGCCCTCTGTTGAATTGTGCCATTTTGGACTTATTCAAACCCCAGACAAATGCAAGCCATCACTGTCAGAATACCACGCCCACTAAGCACTCCGGCCAATCACTGACAATTCTGGCTCTGGCCTTCGCATTCTGTACCATTTGACAAATGCCTCTGTCACTCGGAAATGGTGCCCAGGTGTTTAAGTTTATCTGTGCTTTCTTACAGGAATCTTTTATTGGCTTCCCAAAACAGAAATTAAATATGACATCCAAATAAATTACTGTCCTTTATTTACCGTAACTTTGATACATGTTGATTTTTTTATGGATGTCGATGTTATTTGTTTATACAGTGTAACCCGGATATAAGAAAGTTGTCGGGACTGGAGAAGAAGTCTCTTATATCCGGGTTTGGTCTATATTGTTTAGGTAAGTATGGGGACACTTCATATAACGCTTTTTACGTACAGAACACTAGTTTATTTAACAGTTATAGACATAAAAAACACAGACAAAAATATATTTTCAATCAGTTTTCAAAATAATTCAATCAAAAATTACTTTTTCTTAAAAAAGTCAGTCATTTTTGATTGTACAGAAATCTCTTTGTTAACATCATGAACACTTTCATACAGTCCGTAAATCATTTTCAATGCGCCATCAGGATTACTGCTTTTTGCTTCAAAGTAGGCTGTCAGAGTTTCAAGCACATTCAATGCAGCCAGAGAATTTGGCACTGGTTTGTCACTTTCAGAAACTTCAGAACTTACGCTTTCAGCATCATCATCTTCGTCAAAATCTTGATCATCCTATTTTATACCACGTATGATGTCCGTGCCAGTCAGTTCTCCATAACATTGTGTACGGTCGTCGAAGCTGATAAATTCGTCAAAATCTGTTTGCTCCATGCCCGATGGTGGAGAAACTTGATCATTTTCGTCGAGTATTTCTTCCACTTCAGCCTGTGATTCAATGACAAAGCCGGCCTTTTTAAAACAATTTTGAGTTGTTGACGGTTTTACCATGAAATGTGCTCGCTTCATCATGTGCATGGCCTTCAAAACAGTTATCTGCTTGGCCACCTCGGACAGCGGCACTGGCGGTGTAGCATCGATCGCTGCGATTTGCATTCGAACAAGTTCCCCACGATAATACGCTTTGAATGAACGAATGATGCCTTGATCCAAAGGTTGAATGAGACTGGTGGTGTTTGGTGGCATGAACGACAATTTGATGTTTGACAGATTTGTACCCGGCAGTAAGTTATGACAAGTTGCATTGTCCAAAAACAGAATAATCTTTCGATTTTGAGCAATCATTTTTCGATCAAGCGTTTTCATAACGTCAGTAAACAGCTGACTAGTCATCCAGGCTTTACGATTAGCGAAGTAAGAAAACAGCAGAGTTTTGACATTTTTAAAGCAGCGTGGTTTTGCCGACTTACCAACAACTACAGCTTGCTTTTCACTGCCGTCCAAGTTTGTGAACTGAAGCATCGTGAGTCTGTCTTTGGGAACTTTTGTCCCATTTGACTGTTCGTCGCCGGCAAATCGCAAAGATCCAGACGGCATGTCTTTGTAGAAAATTACCGTTTCATCACAGTTCCAAACATCTTTTGGATCATATCCACGAAAAAGTTGCGGCAAAACGTTTGTCGCCCATTCGTTGGCAGAACCGTGATCGGCTGACGTTGATTCGCCGTGAAATTTTTTGAACGAAACGTTATTGGCCTGCTTCCAGCGCATGAGCCAGCCATTGCTTTCGTTTGCGATAAGTGTTTCCGTTCATTTGCATGCAAGATCTGAGATCGTCTTCTTTCTTGAGAATTTTTGCTGCTGTTGAATAACCGATTCCGTACTTTTTGGCTGCAGCGGCCAGTTTCGATGAGCTCCAACTGTTCAGAAATGCTCAGAGTTTTTCGTTGAGACGCCGACATCACTAATCGCAATGATCGCAAGCAAACGGTTTTCAGTGGCAAAATTAACAAACAGACAAACTTCTGACTCAACAGAACAGTGGGTAAAGTGAAAGTGCTGTCCAGTAAATGCAATGACAAGCAAAGTCGGCAAAAAAGCGGGCGGCGCTACCCTTAGACACACAAAGCAAAATCATAAGGTAGAGGGTGTCTCCTACAGACACAGATTGGACACACTGTGTCTCTAGACTAGTCAAGATTAAGTCATTGAACTTCACTTTCTCTCTAACTGACCTCTGTTTAACCGATTTAAGACATCACACTGTCACTCAAAACGAACTCTCTTATATCGGGGAGGACGGGACCAGAGAATCTCTCTTATATCCGGGTTACACTGTACACTATTTTATTGTTTTAAAAAGACGATAGATATTGAGCTCTATAAATGTATTTGCTAATTCGTTATTTAATTAAATATTAATGTTTATTTGCAAATATTTTGTGAATTACATATCGATTGTGGTACTTTGCATTTAAGTTTAAAGAGGTCAAATGAAGGTCACTCCTGTAAGGATCAAGCAGATTAGCTAGAGAATCAAAGGGAAAAGCAGAATGAGTATCACCTGCTCCCGTGGATTGAATAAAAGATCCGTTTATAAAAATCCAATACAAATTATGATGACCGACACCCGAATGAATCCATGACTGAAATGTTGAGTGGAACAATGAAGCCGGTCCAAAAATAGAATGGTAAATAATCATACCTATTTTTTTTTTCTTTTTAAATAGAGAAAATCGGACAGAGGGCCTATGTCGGCAAAGTGTGCATGGATCAAAATGAAGGCAGTTCTTACAAAGAAAACACTAAAGAGTCACTACAAGAGACGGAAAGGTAATTTCTATTTATCTGTCTTATATTCAAAACTATAATACATCCTGTTCTTTTTTTAATGAAGAGTTATTTTGTCGTTTTTGATAACAGAAGGCATTACTGATGCCAATAAGCAAACACCTCGTATTACAATAATATATTATTTTATTAGTACGTAGGCGAAATTAGAATATTTTTTTCCTTCCTTTGGTAACTTTTACTATCAATGATTTTAAAAGCAAAATTTAATTTAGGTACCTCCACGAGATCGCTAAATTAAAAAAAAAAAAAAAAAAAAAAAAAGCATAGCCTGATGAAAAAGACGCTAAACTTGAAAACAAAATTTTATCGTCTAAATGTTTATGTTATTATTAAGAGGAAAGATCAAAATATTTTGGGGGTATTTTTTTTCCATTTTTTAATCGTTCCTAGCACATCCAAAATTTTCGTTAAAAATCTTTTTTTTTGAGTCAGCAAAATTGATCATTTTTTTCCATTTCATAAAAAAACTGAAATCTCACTTTGAAATTCTTTTAAATATCAATTATCCTTTTTTTCAAAACTTATTTTAAGAAAATCAGAAATTTATAATGTTTATTTAAAATATTTTGAACCAAGCTTAACTTAGCTTTTGTGCCGAAAAGATGTAATTTGAAAATAAAACAAAGCAGGTCATAAACTTTCGCGTCACTTGACAGGTGATGAATGACATATTGACGAATTCCGTGAGGCTAATTTATTCTACGGAAGGAGAAAAGTGATATAATTTACATTTAAGTGAACAAAGTTCTCCGCACTTTCGGCCTTGTGTCACATCTAAGATAAGCTTAGAAAATCACCATTCCACTTGAGGATGTAGGCGGTCATGGCTCTCCACAGCTTTTTCATAACTGTTATTCTATGAATATTCATGTGAAAATGGAGTAGTTTACCGTTGCCTTCATCAATTCATTAACAGATTTTTCATTAAATTTTTGAGTGACTAGCCATCCTATTCAATACGTACATCGATTACATTGGCTAAAATTCCATAACTATATATATTTTTTAATTCATTTTAATTTACTTTTTATTTTAAATTTCAAATGATTATCTCTTCCCTACTTACAGATTTTTTTTTGCTTTTGGAAATGTGCGTCCCAAAATTCCTGCCTTTTGTTTTTAATTATTTTGTTAAATTTTTATCGTTTTAAGTTTAATTTTTTAAATTTATTTTTCCCCGTCTTAGATTCATCGAAACTGTTCAAAAACGCAAGGTCAGTGGAAATTATTCTCTTAACTTTGAGAAATCGGGAAGAATTGTGTTTTTCATATATGCTCTGTTTCCCCTCTCTCTATGAGATTCTTTATCGCCCTCTATGATATCCCCCCTCTCTCTCTCTATGAGATTCTTTATCGCCCTATGATATCCCCCTCTCTCATATCCTTTATCCCTCCTCTATGATATCCCCCTCTCTCATATCCTTTATCCCCCCTCTCTGATATCCTTTATCGCTCTATATCACTGCCATTGATTTTTTCTTTCTTTCATTTCATATTTTAGTTTACATGGCAGTTAAAATAATTCTATGCGTTTTAAGAGAAAATCTACACATTATTTCAGTTGTATCTCGACAGTACAAAGGAATTCAAATAAGTTTCGTGTACAAACAACAGACGTGTTACATTTATTATATATTTAATAAGTTTTATTATTGTTAACGAATTAGTTGTATCTTGGTATTGTAGGACACGGATTTTGAATTTCATTGAATTTCTTTTTTTTTTTTTTTTTTTTAATAATGATTGAAGCCAATCGAAATCTCGGAAGTATAACGAACTAACGCCTTCAACACGAAGATAGGAAAACTAATTCGTGCGCAAGAAAAACTTATTAAAATTTATAATAGATATAACGTTTCTGTTGTCTTTAAATGTCTTAGAAATGAGAAGATAGAAAGCCATCCTAGGCCTCACCTACGTTGACCGTATCACAAATGATGCAGTGAGAGACACCATCAAACAAGAAACAGACACGTTGGAAGATCACATATCTACAGTCAAGAAGAGGAAATTGAAATGGTATGGACATATCCTAAGAGCCAACAATTCTCTCCATTACAGTCCTACAAGATACCACAAGAGAAAAGGAGGCGGGCAGAGGAGAACAATGGGCTGAAAACGTTACTGAGTGAGACTGGAAATCATTCAGAGAGACTCAGACATTGAGACGCAACTGAGATTACATGAAAAGAGCAGTTCAGGTGAGCCATCGACCATAACTCGGATGATCATGATGATCATATTTTTGACAGACACGAAAGAGGAGGAGACAGACAGACACGAAAGGGGAGGAGACAGACAGACACGAAAGGGGAGGAGACAGACAGACACGAAAGGGGAGGAGACAGACAGACACGAAAGGGGAGGAGACAGACAGACACGAAAGAGACCAGGAAGTTGAAATGGTATGGACACGTCATAAGAGCCAACGATATATCCATTGCTGTTCTGCAACGTACCAACGCAAGAGGAAGCAGACAGAAAACGAGAAATGGTCTGAAGACGTCATTTGGTGAACTGGAAGATCATTCACAGACACACCGACATTGTCACGCAATGGTGTCTTTAGCCAAATTTGCTTGAATATGTGTGTATGTGCGTGACTGAAAAGCATAAAAATTATTTTGAGAAATTATTTTTCTCACAAGTATTTTTTTATTGATGGCTCGAAATTATATATATATATATATATATATATATATATTTCACGATATTATTTTTCCCTAAATACTTTCAACCCCATTGGCCATCTTCTGAAAGTTATTTTGAATAGGAGTAGGTAAAGTATTTTTAAAATACTTACAAGAAAATGTTTAAAAATTTCTCAAAAAATATTTGTAATTTTCAATCAGCTATGCAAAAAAGGAGAATTTACTGCAGAAATACACAAACTACACTCATTATACATATAAACACACATATATTATATATAAAAAGAAAGGTTTTAAGGTGTGCTATATTTATGGGATAAAGTGCTCAATATCAGAGAGAGAGAGAGAGAGAGAGAGAGAGAGCGTGTGTAAATATAAGTGAACATTGAAGTGAACACTCAGAGGCGACAAACGGTTTCATGCTAGACGCAATCGTCAGGCCGCGAATGTTGGATTTTTTTTCAAGAAAAGCATAACCACATCCCCTATATGTGCTACTTAATAATCAACTAATACCTTATATAAATGAAAAATTAATCGATTATTTTCCTATCTCAAATTTGCATTCTGCTTGGTTTCACAAGCGTTCACATCGTTGAGGTATTGCTTTTCCAATGACAACCTTTTTTGTTAGGGTTACCAGTGCATAATGCAGAGTGACTCAAGTTGAAGTTATGAGGATTCAAGTCATTTTAAATAAAATGTATTTTATACACGTTGATTTTTCATTATTTTGCTAGAAAGTGAAGTTGTTTAAAATCTATGAATTTTAGCCCCCCCCCCCCCAACCAATTACTTGTATAGAGTGAATTCGATCACCGAAAATGCATGATTTTAACCTCTTTAGAAGTTTACCCATGTATAGTGCGACCTTCCTAATTTTTTGCGTAAAAAATATCTGGCCATAAAAATTCGCAGTATACTTGACGATATACGGTCAAACATTTTATGCAAAAGAAACCAAAAGAGTTTAAAAATCTTATTTGTACTTATTTAACAAACAGCGTTTATACTTTTATTCTAACTTCTTTCGTAATTTCCTTCAAGTATCGACTGATCACGCCAGTTGTGACTCCAAGATTTGCCCTCTCTTGTACTGAAAAACTTATGAAAGGACTCGCCCAAATTGCGGACAAGTATGATCTACCAATACAGGTAAGTGACAAGGTAACGGATCAAGATCCTTGCTACCTGATAAATCCTTATTAAATGAATTTTAATTGATACTTTTACGGTATAATATTCGCTTGACATAATAGGAGTAGATAGATTTGCCTATCGTCCGGTTCAAATTCCTTCCCGATTTTATGAACAGGAAAGTTTTTTCTAAAGTCTTTTCATTCGCTTTCTATTCCTTTGCGTCTTAGTGGCATTATCGCCTTATTTGGATGGCATAGTTGAGAAGGTTATTAGAATAATCCAGAACCTATACTGGCAGCAAACTGCCAACAAACAGATAGAAAATGAATTCAATAAATATACAAAAATAGAAAGTGGTGTAAGACAAGGATGTGTCTTCTCAATGGATTCATTCAACCTATACAGTGAAACAATTCTGAGACTATTAGAAGTTCTTCAAGGATTCATTATTGGCAGCCACAATCTTAGCAACATAAGATATGCAAATGACACAGTGTTTACAGAAGACAGAGAAAAGAAACTACAAGAATTTCTACAGATGAAAGTGAAGGAAAGCAAGAATAAAGGACTAAACCTCATTTAGCGAATTGCTAATTGGTGATACCAAAATCAAATAGGTATTACAATTTAAATATTTGGGAAGTGTTTTCATGGAGGACGGAAAGTGCGACATTGAAATTCAAAGAAGCATTGCGATAGAAAAAGATGAAAAAGTATGAAGAAAAAAAAAATGTGTGTTTCTGCCTATAAATTAGGGAAGGGAAACTGTTTTGCAATCATTCCCAATTGACATTATATTTGTTATGAAATTTTTATGTCATGGATGTTTCTGTAATATCCCGATGAAGATGTGCTATTGTGGCACATTTCAGGTTGAATGGTGATGGATAAGTTCTTGTGGTGAATGAGTAAATCGTAAAGAATAAAGGTGGGTGGGCATGAATTTGATTAGCTAGGTTTAGGATAGTGTAGACCTGACTCACCCTACTCTCACTTCGGCCTCGTGCCAAAATTGTTATTTCTGTAACAATAAGAATACATTTCCATTGGAAACAACAAAAATGTCAATATTCAGGCCGGTAGGCGGCAATAAATATAAATAAATATAATGTTTATTAAATAAACGGAGTGGCTGCTGACATATGAGTATCTACTAAAATAACGTTTAAATATATATATATATATATATATATATATATATATATATATATGCAGGTTTCATTAAATAATATAGACAAGTTTTATCTATTTATTTTAAGTAAGTTCCTTTCATATTGTCTGATAAGCTTTATAACATTATCATTGAATGACGAATACACTAGTTAGTCGTTGCTTTGAAATTTTCATTATTGTTCCGTGTATTGGTTGATATATTGAAAAGTAATTGTCATCTTTGATAATGGCTTATGTAAGCCGAAAGATTAGATTAGATTTAAACATGTATCAATATGGTGATTTCCTTTCGTCCTTCAATGATAAGCTTCCTTAAATTTCTTCCCTAAATTAAGCTTATCAGAAAATATGAAAGGAACTTACTTAAAATAGACAAAACTTGTCTATATCATTTAATGAAACATCAAATGAAAAATTTCTGCCTAAATATACACTATACAAGTCATGCACAGACAGCTCCTTAGTGTGTCTAGACGTCCGATTGCTTCCAGCCGGGATTGAAACCCAACTGATTTGAAATCATCGCAAGGCAGAAAGGAAGGGAATGTTAACGTTTTTCTGTATACAAAATACGTCAGGGGCTCGGAGAATTCAATTCATACTTGAAGAGTAAAGCTCAATAGCAGTAGGAACCGGTGTTTTCTTTTTTAAAAACTATCCCTAGATACCTCAACCGGATTTCCAGGAGCATATATAGTCATCCAGAGACAGAATGTTTCGCTGTATCACAGCTCCTTAGTGTGTCTAGACGTCCGATTGCTTCAAGCCGGAATTGAAACCCGATTGTGTGAAAATTATTATATATATATATATATATATATATATATATAGGTGATCATGAACGAAGACCACTCACACTTACCAAGTTTCAAATTAGAATGGAATTTTTTTCTTATTTTATCAAGTTTTACAGTATTGCACCATGCAAAAATATCGCTATGATGTGCCGTTTTTGCTATGGTAGTGTAAGAAATCGACAAGAAAGCGGATCAATAGAAATTCTCTTATTTGATATCGTATTTGATATCGTATTTTCAACATTGTTGATTCAGTCATTGCAAGAGGAAAGTGACTCCTTCTCATTTGAATCGGACTCATTTTAATTGGTGCGGTAAAATTTCAAAAATTACCAGATGATATTTTGAGAAAGATCGAAGAGTTACGATTCAAGGAAAAATTCTATTTAGTGAATTAAATAAAAAGACGTTAATAATGCGAAGAGTTGCTAAATGATTCTTAAAGAGGCTCTATTAATTTTCGGTCAGTTCATATTTTGTTTTCATTTCGTGAAAGTCTTAATGGATTGTTTCAAGCATAAATACTACAACAAAAAGATGTTTCGGAACAAACTTAAGTAGTGGACACATTTTAGATGAATTATTAGATTCCGCACAGAAAGAAAAGAAACAGATTCAAAACTTCTTCAGATGGTTTTTCTTCAGTCTTTAAATAACATAAGAAAATATAAGGTTATGGGCCACAGGTTTGGAGAGTGATACAGCTTTAACATTTCTTAAATCCGTCGACGGAGATTGCGAGGCTGGCTTCCGTCTTGATATCCCACTTACAGATGAATAATTTAGAAATTTAAAAAAAAATGTTAGAAATTCATCATTGCACTCAGTGTGAAAACTGGAGTTTTATGTGATAAATACTGACACTAATAGTTAGAGTCATAGCTTTTACCAATTTTGAGCATTTAGTTTTTAAAACAGTCTCTGAAGAAATACCTTTACAGAAATAAATAATTTCCACAGTTTTTTTTTTGTTAATAAATCCAAATGGAGTTGATATTTTTGTATTGAATGGAAAATATTCAAACCAGAATTCTAATTATGAATCACCTCAAGCAAAATATGCATTTTTTTTTTTTTTTACTGTATTCGATAAGTAAATCTGCGGAAAGAAAACTGTAAAAGATTAGAAAAAAGTCTACTCAACGAATAAAATTTATTCGATCATTTGTTATAATAAAAACAAAAAAAAATAGATAAAAAGTTTATATAACACCAGAATAACGCTGGGCATAAATTATAAGAGTAAATGTTTTAAATTTGCATTGCTTATTGAAAATCACACTAAAACTACTGCATTGTATAATAATATATTACATCATAACGAAATTGTTCAGTATAATTTTCCCTTTGAATTAAATGAAGGTCTTACTGGTGGCACAATGATTTAGTAATAATGTGCGTGTGCCTTGTTCAAATACAATTTGCAAAGCTTGAGTAAATTATAAATTTATTTGCGTGGATGTGAGCAGTTAATGAGATCAGTCCTTTCAGAACACTGTCACGTTATTTGATATTTTCGTTTCTTACAAGCATGTCACAGTAATCGACGACCGAAAGAGAAAATGAAGAAGCTCTTCGACAAACCAATATCTACTATCTACGTTTGCTTCGGAAATACTAGCCCACTCACTCCAGATTTTAAAAAAATCTGTTGACTTCATTTACAACCTTGACAGAGACGAATAAGTTTCCTTGTCAAAAAGTTATTGATAAATCATTCCAATGGCTTTCGAGACTGAACTAAGTTTGATTCCCATTACGCTCTCCAAACATGTAACCTTGTACCAGACTAGAATGGAAATATTTCTGAGAACAGACTAATCTGTCGATTTAGGAGGAACAAATTGTCTTCGTTTCTCAATGCTTAAAAAAAAAATTTACTCTTAAGTGTCTACAAGAAGACTTTAATAATTGTTGGATCGGTATTTACAGTGAACGGAAGATCTGAAAACGGTGATCGAAATATTATTTAAATGATCAAAAGTACGAAACTAATAAATACTTGATAATGACTAAAAACAAAAATTTCTTATTTTCACATGACTTGGATAATCTAGTATTAATATAAAAATGCTACTGGATATAAAAATATGGGGTTCAGTTTTCTGTTATAAAGTCAGAAAATGATCTTTCCCAAAATTATGACATTTATAGGGTAATATGTTCAAAGATTCACATGTGAAAACCTTTTCATAATCTTGAGGAATTAACAAAACCGGTCGTTATCATTGGCAGCATGAATCCTCGTCTTATGCACTAAGGACATGATTGGTTACAGCGCTCCACAACTTCCAGTCTTTTGTTACTCTAAACATATTTTTACCCTTTACCAAACTTATTTATCTTCTATCATCTATTCACACAAATTTGTTAAATACGTTACTTTTTGCTATCGTTTACCTTCAGAATGTTTTGTGAGAGAGACAATATATAGGGGAGTTTCGGAAATTTTCCTCAATAAATAAATAAATAAAAATAATAATAATAATAATAATAAAACAGACGTCCCCCACGTTTATTAGACACCTCAGAATACATTTTCGTTTTTTTAATAAAAGTAAATGCACAAATTATAAATAGTCTTAATATTAGAAATCCAACACTACTAATTTTCCGTCAGATGCCTCAGTGACGAGTAATGGTTAACAAAGTTAGTCTGGTTGACCGTTACCGTGTAGTGAGTTCTGTCCACACTGGGCGTATCGTATAATATTCTGCATTAAATAACCCAACAATGGTTGATATATCGAGAGAAAGAAAACAAAAATCACGAAACCTAAAATAATGTCATTCAAATTTTTGGGATCTAAAGTTTTGAAGAAGCACTTTTGTAGTTATTTACATGTGAACTAATGTCCTATTCTCAAAGCCTTTAAGAGAAATTCTGGAACCACGTGGCAGACAATGACTTTCTTAAAATTGAGGATTTGACTTCCTGTAAATATGAATGTAAACTCTCATAAATGCTTTATTTCCATGATCGGATATAACAATGTAAGAAACATATTCAATTAATGCAGCAAAATGAATCAGTCTTCACAGTTACATTCACCAGTCGCCTTTTAGGTTTTGTTCATACAGAAATGATTTTAAAACGTCCATAATAATTTTTTTCAAGAAAAATACTTAAAAAAAAAAAAAAATTAAGATTTAACTAGAGTACTAATTAAAATGTGTTTTTCTAGCTTTTTTGTTTGCAAAAAATCTAATAACACTATCACAATCAATTCGTTTTGTAATGCCTGATTCAATATTCAGTCATGCTAGATCAACAAGTCTGGTTTGAGACTTGGTAGTTTTTGATAAGTTTTAGTTTACACAAAGCCTGCATGGCGAATACATGTTAATATTATTAAAGTAATCCAACACACATTGAAACATATTTTAGGCTTTCTGCATCAAGATCTTGGAACTCTCTAATAATTACAATACATAAAGTCCTTGCGAAACAAAACAATAATACATACAGGCACATGATGACGCGAAAATTCTAATGTGTACTCATCCCCTCATGACGCTAATTGATGTATCTAACCCCCACCCCCCGGGCTGTAGATAGATACTCTTGGTGGTATTATAGGTTTAGACAACTAGGCCTACAATAATTACTAATAAATACTAATAAAAAGAAATAAGTGTGGTAAGTATAGGGATGTTTGAATATGCGAATGTGTATGTTGGGTTGGGGGTAGTGCTTGTTCTCGAAAGGGGGGTGGGGCGTTGCATGGTTGCTGTGGGGCTCTTCTTAGATTTTGGGCCCCGAAACAAAGTGACCAACTGAACCCCCTTCTAACAGGCACCTTATCTCATCTTGTCAATCCGGGTAACCGGCAGAGTTCTAAACATTTTTATTCAATCACTAATTGTTCTTCTTCTTCTTTTCATGTCTACGGACATATCGTCTTATTCTAAATCATTGCTGCCATGTTCTCACTGAATTTAAACCTGTACTACTTGGCCCAGGGATTAAAAATTTTTTTTTTTTTTTTTTTTTTTCAGCTCAGAGTTATTTAATCAATTTGCTATCGTATCTAGCACAAGGCCGGTATATATATATATATTTTTTTTTTCAGACTCATATTAATGAGAATAAAAAAGAAATTGCTGAGGTGGAAAAAAGGTTCCCGAATAAAACATACGCAGAAACCTATGATGCCATGGGTCTCTTGAAAAACAAGGTAAAGGCAATTTGAAATCATTCGTTTTTTTTTCCATTTATTTTCTAAATGATTCTCCATCACTAGCCATAAAAAATTTTCAGGAGACTTATATATAAATAAATGTCAAATTCTGTCTGTCCATCAGTCCGTGTATCTACCCCCCACCTTTACTCGGGCCACACTTGCTCAACGTATTCTGGGATCAGGATGATCCTGGGATTGAAGATCTGTCCATCTGGTGTTTGAACATTCAACATTAGGATTTATGTCCGGATGACGAGAGAACAATTAAAAATTCAATTTAAAAAGAAATGAAAAAATTAGTGATATTAAAAGATTTAATTTATTTTGATTTTAAAGTAACACTAAAACTTTGTGAATTTAAATTTTTTGTTTTAAATTCAGTTTAAAATCTCCAAAACTTTGTAAATTGAGGAAATCAATTTTATTTCTTCAAAATGCCAAGGAATCAGAGTTAAAGTGAAAGGTTTTCTGACATGAGGCTTTGAAGTTCCACAGAGTTTGTGATTTGAAGAACTCAATTTTGGGCTTGAATTGGAATTTCGTCTGGAATCGAACTTGTATCCTGATTCAGAGTTAAAATGAGGTTTTGAACTTCCATGGAGTGAATTGAGAAATTCAAAGTTATTTTTTCAAAATTATCATTGCTGCTTTCTATTCTGGAAAGAAGAGTATCCCTTTAGTTTTATGCTGGGAAGCACAAATACCCCCCAGCCGCTGGAGCTAGTTTAAAAGTCCACACATACTGCTGACTTTAAGCTAGTTATAAAATAAGACTCGAGTCTGCCTGTGTGACTAACATGTACCTGTGCCATTTAATGTATACATACGCACGCACTATTTGAAGGATTTTAAGAGAAGACATTGAAATAAGTATAATTTTAATATATATCTTTTTTTAATTTTGTAGTATATTTTTAGGTGTGTCACTGAATTCAAATATACATGTGTATACGCAAAAATACATGCACACACAATTTGAAGGAAATCGAAATGAACATCTTTGTTGGGAGAATTAATTTCCCTGTCTGGCAACAACTCTTGGGTAACAGAAAAAAAAAAGTACGAATCAAAATATTCAGCTCTTGGAAGTTATTTTTATGACTCCTATATTTAATCCGAATATATTTTCTAATAAATGTCGAATTTTAAATGGATAAAATATTTAGAATTAAAATTTGTTGATCTTACCATCGGCGAAGCGACAAAGGTTTATCATTTTTAACACTTTTTTTTTTTCATTGAGTGACCTTCGTTTTAATTATGACATTCCAAATTCCAAAAAGAATGGCATCTTGACAGTTCGCTGTGGATTGAATTCAACCAAATGACAATTGCCAATACGAACAGCGCAAAAACATTTTCTTCCTAAGATGACAAGAGATAGGAATAAATAAATGGGGATAAACGTGAAAGAATGGAATCGGCAGAGTTCGAACCCCGACAGAGTAGATTCATTCCTCACTATGCCCCTAAACAAAAAACAAAACATACACAAACTATGAATCCATCTCTCCTTATTGCCAGCTGGGGTTTAAATAGCAAAGCATATTAAACTAACCTTGGTTGAGAATCGGTCTAGAAAGAAAACTGAATTCAAAACAGGAATGTCAAATTCCTGTTGCGGTAAGAACCAGTTACATTCTTTACTATTATGAATGGACATAAGTAGTCCTGGGTAATTGTCTCAAGAATCTAATACTATTGCAGTGACTCGTCTAACTGAATATTGAACACTACTATCACGATTGATTTGGTCGAGTTAAGTGATGTGTTTTGCCAAACAACACATCACAAGAACCAACTTATTATAAAGAAACTGTAATAACAATTTATATCCGTGGTAACAGAAGACCGCAAGGAATTTACGGTATATTACACAAAGTGAATTTGTAGATTTTTTGTAGTGACTGTAACCTTCACTGAGCGAAGATGATAACTACGCCTCCAGGTAGCAATGTTTTTGTTATGACGATGATAAATTACTCGAAAATGAGCATACAAACGGTAGTTAAAAGGACAGACCCCATGAAAATGCAGAGAACAAAAATATTTGGAAAACAATTGTTCTCTCCAGAATCTATCTTGTATATTTATAAGTCTACCATTCCTCCATGCTTTGAATATTGCTGACACATATGGTGCGGTGCTCCTGCTGGATATTTAGAGATTCTTGATAAAATCCAAAGAAGAATCAGCAATATTATTGATCCTAATATGGCGTCTCGGCCTCAGTCAATTTCCCACTACCTTTTCTATAAATACTTTCATGGTAATTGTTCTGATGAACTAATATCTAAAAGGTACCTAGACTTTAGGAATTTAGATGCAGTACTAGATTGGCGGCAAGGTCTCAGTTGAAATGGTTATATGTGATCCCGTAACTTTTATGTTAACAGTTTATTTTCTTGCACTTCTCACTTGTGAAACACTTCCGGTTCCATACTTTCCAGTCAACTTTGATCTTCAACAATTTAAATGCAATGTCAATCGTTATCTACTGTCTTGATTACTCTTCTATTTTTCTCACTCCTTAGTAATGTTTCTTTTTTTTTTTTTTTGTCACATTCAGTAACTTCCTTGTGTCTTAGTGGTTTTAATGCCTTGCATGGGGTGAAATGATTAAAAAATATATTTAAAGACTCGTATGTGAAAGCCTTTTATAACCGAATGCGTAGGCTGGCTCAGAATAGCAAACTACTAGTATAAACGCTGACGACAGGAACTGAATGGGGGTGGCTTGGTTTATTTTGTTTTACAGCATATCAATCTCAATGGGTTATTTAATGCCGACAACATTTTTAGGATAGATTCGTATCAATAGAATATATATTCTTTGGTTTAGATTGGTTTGGTTTATTTTGTTTTATGGTATATCAACACCTCAACGGGTTATTTAATGCTGACAATTTCTATTGCTGGTAATATTTTGTTTTATCAAAAATCTGTTTCTCGTAATATTTTTCATTTAAAGTTGTATTGCTGGTAATATTTTTTTTCAGAAAAGTATTGCTGGTAATAGTTAACTATTTGCCCATAGCTGGGACCCTAACAGGTGCTACCACCCCGGGTCAGGGTGGTGCTGGGAACACCAGCAATTAAGAGGTGGTTCCACGCTCCTCAAAACCTCCTGATCAGACGCCTTGCTGCTGGACGTACTTTAACGTCTGACCCAGGACGCGGAACTGAATGGGGTCGTATTCTGACAGTGATGGATTGCTTTTGTTTAAGTTTTTATATAAGACCAAAAAAAAGTGCGAGGACACTGAGACGGCTGCAAGAATCAATGGGTACAACTTCTGCCCTAGATCAGATTTCCCCCATCAATAAGCAAAATACTCCGATTTCATTTCGCTATTCAAATCTTCTCCAATTTCACTAACAAAAAAAGAAAACAAAACATACGTGTGTGTGTGTGTGCGTGTGTTTCCCAGACTCTCTCTCTCTGATATAACGATGGGAATCAGAAGATTCGAAACCAGATGTGAAACGAAACGCAACATTAAATATTGACTAAATAAAATGTTCTGTTATTTTAAAGTCGTATTAATATAAGATTTTACTGGACATAAGAGGAGGGGGGGCAGTCTTCTGTTATCAAGTCAGAAACTAATTTTTCCCCAAATTACGACATTTATAAGAAAACAAGATTCACACGTGAAAATCTGTTACTAATCGCGAATAATTAACAAAACATGTCGTTCTCATTGGCAGCATGAACAGTCATCTTATGTGTTAGGCTCTTTCAGGACATGATAGGTTACGGCACTCTACAACTTCCAATCTTTTGTTGTTTTTACCATTTATCTTCCCTAATTTGTCATTCCGTCATCTATTCACACAAACTTGTTAAATACATTAATCGCTATTTCTACCTTCGTTCGCCTTCAACATGTCTTGTAAATGTTAAATTCTCTAAGCTTTCTTTTCTTATGTGTCCCAGAAATTTCAACAGTCTTTCTGATTCTAAGTCTCTAAAAAAAATTTTCCATGCTCACGTGACCATTCCGTAGTCTTATCAACATTTGCCGGCAGAACCACATCTTTGTGCCTTAAGTGTGTGCTTCATTTGTGAGGAAAATATCCAGCACCCGCTGACCAATAAAAAGATTAAACAAACAGCATTTCAGCTCTCTTTGTGTGTAACGATATTTTCCTATCTCTTAATACTTTGTATACTTTCTAAAAGACATTTTGCCCCTGCTGACGTCAGTCTCGCATTTCCCATCGACTTTTTCTAAACTATCCGTTTAAATTTCTGTACCAGTTTCATTTTGACGTCCCCAATGAAGCAGCTCATATCTTGGACTGCCTCTTTTACTCACGACCTTGTATTCTATCTTACATTTGATGGTTCGCATTTCCCCCTTGTCTAAAAGGGATTTCAATTCCCTTTCCTAGTCTGCCATCAACACGTTGTCATCACTCATCTTAAAATTCTGTTAGACAAAGTGGGCAACCGGTTTTCTATTGCTATGAACTAATTCTTTGTAAACTTACCACATAATATAACGATTGGAAAATACATTTAAAATACTCACATTGAAAAATTTCAAAACAGTAAAGACGACAAAATCTTTTTTTTTTTTTTTTTTTACGAGCTGAGCAAACTTATGTGCCATGTCTTTCCAGGACATGCGCGATCATGGTTCTCCAGTTTCCCGTCCTTTATAGCTTTTAGTAAAATTTGTTTTCCTGCTATCACTCCTAATTCCTGTTCTGCCACCTATTTACACAAGCTTATTCGGTATGTTACCCGCTGCTTTAGCCTCTGGGTGTCAAATTCTCCAAATCCTCTTTATTATGTGCTCTACAAATGTCAACTGTCTCTTTCTGATGTTAAGTATGCATCCTTTTTGTTTCCATTTTCTCTAAGACACTGTCGCTGCTCACATGTTCAGTCTCTAGTGTTCTCAGTGTGGAGACGGTTCAGCATTCACTGCTATATAGGAAGATTGGAATCATGTAATAGTTTAGTACTCTATTCTTTGTTTCTAGCGAAAAATACTTTGCTTAGCTTTAAGAAGGCATCTTCCGCAACCCAAATGCGACTTTGGATTTCGGTGTCGCATTTTTCATCTTGTGTTAATACACTTCTTAGATATTTATATTTTTGTGCTTGCTTAATTTTGGTATCGCCAATTTTAATTCACATGTTGGGCCGTTTCATTAACAGTTGTACATTCTGTCTTCACTTTTCAATCTTATAAAGTGATCCCCGAGAAATTATTACATATTAATTGGAAAAATATATTTAAAGACAGACATTAAAATTTTTTAATAATCGTAAGGACTGAGCAAACTATGGACACAAAGTTGGGGATCAGTTTTCTGTTATTAAGTCAAAATGATCTCCCATATTATTACATAGAATAATAATTGGAAAATAAATGTGAAAACCTTTTAATAAGAACTTAAGGCTCGACCGCCCTTTACCTGACATGGTTAAAAAAAAAAAAAGTATCGAGGTATCGCCTGATTAGCGAAGTCATTCCCGCCACCCATATTTTAGATAAAAAGAAAAAAAAAAAAAAAAAGAAAAAAAAAGAATTATAATCAGCTTAAAGATTTTTTTTTTTTTTGACTAAGGGAAATGCTTATCTCTGATCTCTAATCAGCCGATGAATTGCCTTTACACCTGCAAAACTAATTTTGTCATTCTTAATCAGTGAAGTGCTTGATGATAAACACGAGAGCGATTGCCTTAGATTAACTCAAACGATCTTTGACAAGGAATTGCATTAGTTGTGTCTGCGCAAACGCACTCTTGTTGTGGCATGTCTTGAAAAGTTTTCTCACTTATCAAGTCCTTTCTATCAGTTAAGTACATGATTGCTATTGTTAATGGCCAATCCTCTGCATCACATGAGGTCAATGATGGCGTTACCCCAAGGCCTTAGCCACTTTATATTAATGATCTGCTGAAGAACATTCTCAGACCATTAGTAAATATATATATGTGCAGACGATACCAGTTTATGGGTGCACCTCTAAATATCTGGATGCCTAGAAGCCCCGTGTTAGTCTCTCCGCTGACCCCGCTCGCTCATCTCAATCGGGGGGGGGGGAAGAATGACTTCTATCATTCAATGCCTCCAAAACAAAGCTAGTAACATTTCATCAACAAGCAGACCCCAAATTTGCTCAAATCCTAATGAGCGGTTGTATTCTCAATAAAGCTCCTTGTGTCAAACGCCCATTGGTATTAAAGCTCACCCCCAGACCTCAAGTGAAATTCCTGTATTCATACCATCGCTGAAGATGCTGGAAATATGGCCGGTCCTTTGTACCCTTCTAATGAGTACCTGGCTCCTCTTGACATGCTCTATCTTGGCAAGAATCAGATAAGATCACAATTATAGTATTGCTGCCATATCCGAGACGGAGATGTCCAATCCTCACTGTAAGTGTTCAAAAGAAGTTACGCGATCGTGTGGGTGATGGATTATTCTCTACCCTGTAGCCTCTCCCCACCACAGCCGTGCTGCATTCCTTAGTTCCACTAGCTCCAACCTTCTCAACAAAACCTGCCATGTCATAAGTCGACTTATCCTCGTCTATGTATTTCATTTGTAAGGTGAACGTTTGTAAAACAAATTCCCGATAGGACCTTTCTCTGACCGCTACAATCTTAATCTCTTCAAGTCCAGGGTCAACATCTATCCTACACATAATATGTACTTTCTACTTCCTCCTTTTATGACCTTACAACGATTTTATTCAGCAATCGTCTATATTGAGTGGCTCTTAGGTCCTGCAACTTGGTGAATAATAAAAATAAAAAAAAAAAAAAAAAAAAAATGCCACGAGCACATTTATCACCTTTCTTCCCGTAAACATTTGTATCAATTCTTTTTCCTGGCGAACTAGTTTCTCCACGTTTTGAAGTTGCCGCATATCCCATAAAAATCAGGCTTTACTGAAAAAACGCAGGATCTCTCCTGTAGCCCTCTAACGAAACGTTGGGGGGGGATTTCTTTTTCTGCTTCCATTTTTTTTTTTTTTTTACAATTATTTTTTTTTAATATTTGTCCTGGGCATGATAGACTACATCCGGCAGCAAGGCCTCTGATCGGGAGAGTGGAACCACCTCATAATTGCTGTTGTTCCCAGGTCCACCCTTACCTGGGGTGACAGCACCTATGGGCAAATAGTGAACTTAAAAAAAAAAAATGGAAATATAAAAAATACATTTTTATAGTAAAAATAACTGCAATACATTTTTATATAAAATTACCAACAATTCTTATTTATAGTAAAACGATCAACAATACATTTTATCTGTAGTTCTGTTAAAGGCATACAATTGCGTTCAAAATATTTACATTTCGACATTAGTAACCCATAGAGGTGTTAATATGCCGCTAAACAAAGTCAACCAACTATTAATATTTATAGTCTTCTTTTTATTCGGGTCTTAGTTGAATTCCGTCGTTGTTTAGGAAATTTAATTGTTTTAAGGTTAAAAAAGATGAAAAGAAAAAAAAGAGTTGGCGAAAAATCACTACTAGCAGACGTTATCGCGCCTCTACTGAGTTTCATGGCCCGACCAGGGAACTGGTAACCTGACGTGACTTAACAAATAGAACGCCATTTTTAATGGACATTGAGGAAGTAACAAAACAATTTATATCACATTTTGATCTTTATTACAAGAATGAATTTTGAAAATGCTGCGTTTATTACTTTTCTCTTTTTAACAGTTTCCGAGACAAATATATTTGTAGTTTTAAACGGAATTTTTCTATATTTTATTCACAGACAATCCTTGCCCACAATATTCACTGCCCTCACCAGGACATAAAACTAATCAAAAAGAAAGAAAGCAGTGTTTGCCACTGTCCCAATTCTAATACCAAGTAAGTTAGTTTTTTTTTTATTTTTATATGTTATATTCAGCTGACTGCCCACCCAATCCCATTCCCGGAACGAAGATAAATGTGACCGACTGAATATGGAGCGTCAAATGTGTGCGCATGGAGAGAAAACATTTTTATAATTGCAGCCAATTTTTTAGTGCAATGGAGAGGTACTGTCTCTGAATTGGAATCTCCAGGGACAAGGCACATCAGTGTGTGCTGTCTTGGTCGAACAAAGTTGATTTTAACTTTTATGTGCAAAAAAAAGAAAAAATTAATTAAAGAAACGACGTAAAGAGAACAAAAATTGATTATTATAGTCAGAGACGTTTGTGTATGATGACTGAAAAATAGTTTGGAAAGTTCTGGAAATTTACCTTCCGAGCGTATTAAGTTAAAATGGAAAAAAATGTATTATTCAACTATTTACATTGTTCGGACTGTTGTCCTCATTTTTGTTGCCATATTTACGACTTTTCGGGCGTTATACGCTTCGTTCTTCAGGTGATTGGAATCCACTGAGCCATTGAAATTTTCAGGAGATTGGAATTACATGGCCCAGTGGATAAAAGCGTTGGTTGTGTCCATTGACTTGACCCAAGGAGTTGCGAGTTGAATACCTGGCTACTGCAGTGGCGTACAAACACTTGGAGAGTTGAGTTAAAGTAGGTACCTCCACGAGATCGCTAGAGAAAAAAAAAAAAAAAAAAAAAAAGCATAGCCTGATGAAAAAGACGCCAAACTTGGCGAAAACAAAATGTTATCGTCTAAATGTTTATATTATTAAGAGGAAAGATCAAAGTATTTTTGGTGTATTTTTTTAACATTATTAAATCTTCCCTAACATGTCTGAAATTTTCGTTAAAAATCTTTTTTTTCTTTTTTTTTTGAGTCAGCAAAATTGACCATTTTTTCCATTTTATAAAAAAAAAAAAAAAAAAAATGGAAATCTCACTTTGAAATTCTTTTAAATATCAATTTTTTTCAAAACTTATTTTAAGAAAATCAGAAATTGTTTATTTAAAATATTTTGAACCAAACTTAGCTTAGCTTCTGCGCCGAAAAGATGTAATTTGAAAATAAAACAAAGCAGGTCATAAACTTTCGCGTCACTTGACAGGTGTTGAATGACATATTGATGGATTCCGTGAGGCTAATTTGTTCTACGGATGGAGAAAAGTGAAATAATTTACATTTCAGAGAACAAATTATTTACCTCGTTATTTTTAAGGAAAGCTTTCACCTTTACGTTTATGATGTTTTATGGAAAGGTTAGTCTAAAGAAATTAAAATAAGACTTAAGAGTGACATTAAATTTCATAAGAAAGGTATCTAATTAATTTATAGGTACCTTTCTTATGAAATTTTATCAGAAGTGTACATAAAATACTATAATTCTATGTACATTTATTACATTTTACTGTGTTATTTGTATTTCCATTCATTTTATTTTTGATATTTCATTAATGCAAAAATGTCATAACTGAGATTAATATAAAAATAAGATCATATAAATTTCATGATACTTATAGGTACCCTTCTCAGTTGAAATTGAAAAATCAAATTAACTTCTCCGCACGTGTTTCGCAAAAGTAAAGGCTTAACAGCGGAGAACAATGCTTAACTCAAATAACGCAACTTAATTATATTCTGGTTGGTCTTCTGTACTTCATAATTATAGCCTGATTATACACACAAAATTACATTTCTTAATTACTGCTGATCAGGTCAAAACGATACAATTTACAACGCGCTAGAAAAAAAAAAAATCTCATAAGGAGACTTAGGAAACCCGATGCGGCTTTTAATTTTATATTTAAAAAATTAAATGTAAAAATCTATTATAATTAAGAAATAACATATAATTGTATTAAAAATTCATTTTTCATCGAATAAAGTTTTTGCTTTCAGAAAATGTTGTCCATATTCATAAAAACAACTAAAAGCAAATGAAATTAAATAATATATTTGTTTTATTGAATTTTGTATGTTACAATTCAGAGCTGATTTTCAGGTGGGGGGGGGGTCCAATTAAAAACAAAAAACAAAAAAAAAAAAAAAACATGATTTGCATTCCTCAAAGCCTTGTGCTTTTAACTATTGTAATCACTAAACCCGATGCGATCGAATTTCTAGCGTTTTCATAATATTAATTTTGGGGTGGGGTAATAAATATTAAAAAAATATTTCTAACATGAATTTAAAAAAAAAAAAAAAAAACAAAAAAACATTTGTAATAATTTCGATCATCTGTGAATAGTTTTTCTGAAAGTTTCATTAACATCCGACAATTATTTATATTTTTGCAAGATTTTCTAAATTAATGTGTGTCATACCAAAAAAAAAAAAAAAACAAGTGCTAAAAATTGTCTGTTATTTACTAGTTCCGCTGATAGGAAAAATTTAAAAAAAATAAAAAACTTTGGTCTTTCCTCTTAATAATAACATTTTACACGATAAAATTGTTTTCGGCAAGGTTGGCGTCTTTTTCATCAAGCTATGCTCTTTTTTTTTTAGCGATTTCGTGGAGGTACCTAAGTTAAAGGGAGATAACTGACATTCGGAAGATACCTGGCACGTGGAACTAGAACAGTCTACGCCGGATGACGAAATAAAGGGTTCAGTTCGAATTTCTAATCACCTGGAGAAGACCGGAGCGTACAAAGGCCGAAACATCGAGAATATGACAACAAAAATGAGGATGACAGTCCGAACAATGTAAATCGTGTAAATAGTTACAATACCTCATTTCAGAAAGATGTATTCAACAACTTAAAATAAGAATTATGTTCGGATTATTTTTGTGTTCATTAAGCTAAAAGCTTTTTTTTTTTTTTTTTACCCAAAATGTTAAATTACAAAGTTTTTATGCGAAAAGGGGTTTTTCTTCCGAAAAATTGAAAATTAAAAATTGTTTAACCTACGGTAAATTGAGGGGGGGGGGAAATATTTGACATTGTAAAAATATTCCAATCATCCACAAAGAAAAAAGGAAAGGAAAAGAAGAAAGCAGATAAATTGTAAATCTAAAATTGTTATATTCCAAAAATTGCGGAGGTGATTTTTTTTTAAAGTCAATTTTCTTTCCATGAAGAGTTTTCGTACGACAGGGAATAAACTAAACATAGGAAGTTTTCTCAGACTATCATACGGACTCCACTTGATACGTTGTCCTTCGTTTAGACCTCGTACGCGAACGTCATTGTAGACACAAGATACACGTAAATATTTAACAGAAAAATGTTCAACTCAGTCCTAAAACGTGTTATTTGAAGAGTATAAACTTTCTAATAAGTTAATAACTAGACGTTTAAAAGCTGAAAGTTTGTAGATTAATCATTTGAAGTTTCAAATACTGTGTAATTTTTAATTTTTTCCGTAAATTAAAACTAATTTTTAATTTGGTAGCCATTCAATCGAGATACGTCTTCAGAATTTACAATAAAAATGCATTTTTTAATTATTTTGTCTGAAACTTAATAAAATGGCTTAATGTCTCTGCTACAATTTCAATCTGTTTAATTTATTCAATTTACCAAATCTTTAATTTATACAGATTTTTATACATTTTTTCACAAACGCTGCAAATCTATATTCGCCTGGCGTCAGTTTAAAGTGAAAACTTTTCTCCAAATCTTGTGACCATTTTACTTGAAATTTGTATTTTAATTTCAGAAGAAAACTTGAAACTTGTCTACAAAATTATAGATGAGATATGTATTCAAGAAGAAGGCTTCAATTTAAAACTGATTGTGGTTTTCATTAAGAGAGAAAGAAAAGAGAATGCCTTTAGTAAAGTCTGCTTTCTTTTAGTTTTTTTCTTCTTTGTTCACTCTTCATGTAGCAGAAGTTAAAAACGAAAGACTGCTCAGTAAAACAGTTACATATTAAAGCTTTTCACCAGTGCCAAATTTACAAAAGAGCCTGTATGGGTTGTAGCCCAGGGGCCCCTGATAAACTCAAAGATATAAGAACAGAGATATGTTTATTTTCAGAGTTAATGGGGTTCCTTTAAACTCATTTGAAGCAATTTAGAGAATTTGGGACCCTCTAGTTGGAGTGAGTCTTTTAAAACTGACAGTTGAAGTGTTTCATGTTTTAGTTTTACACACACAAAAAAAAAAAAAAAAAAAAAAAAAAAAACGCATCAATTTTTTTTTTTTAAATATGAAGGGGGGGTATTCAAAAATGAAGCTCCCCCTCCAATTTTATTAACGCAGGAGGCTCTTAAGACCGGGATCCGTCTTTACATTAAAAAAAAAATTATTACAACATTTCTTACTACGGATTCAACAAAGACCATCTTCGCGAACCTCGGCGTGATGTAATGGTTAACGAACGAGAACAATTACGATTGAGTAACGAGTTCAATCTTCACTGGGCGCCTCATATTTTCGGCCTTGTACCACTTCAAATATCTTTCCTAGTTTCTTTTGATAAAGACGTTACTGTTAATTACTTTATCGACATCATTATTCTCGTTCCAGATGACTTAGCGGTTGTAAAATGGAAAACCAAAAAAATCTCAGCGTGGTGATAAAAACAACAGCAATAAAAGGACTATTGAAATTATTAATAATAATATTATCGTGACAGTAGCAATCGTAACAAGGGACTTCCTCAAAGAGAGACGGATTAACTCGTCTTACGAGGTGTAAAGAAGCAACAAAAAGGAAATAAAATGAAAACCCCCTCAAAAATTTTAAATACTAAAAAATTCGGACAACAAAATCTTTCATGTCACGCCGGTTGCATACAGTCTTGATTTAGCAAGGGAAAAAAAACCCATGTAAGAGACTTTCTTCATTTCATGTACAAAATTGTAAATCGATATTGACGGATTTCTCTTTTCTTGAAAAAAGGGGAGAAAAAAAAAAAAACAAACAAAAAAAACCCCCCTGGACTTCGATTTTTTTTTTAATTCCCCCAACACAATATCTCGTTGTTAGATTTAAATTGTTTTAAGTATAAACTGACGACATGGTACTAGATTTGATAGAATAATAGGACTACCCTCTCAATGACAATTTTTTTGAATTTGACCAAATATGGAACATGAATGAGGCTTCAGTAACATGCACGGTATCATTCAACATTTTTATTGAAATGGTTAGGATTTATGTCATGTTCGTAGGAGCTTACCTGTTATAAAATCTTTTCTTTTTTTCCCCTCTTTTCTTTCAGTCTTCAAAGCGGAATGTTCTGGGCCAGACAGCATTTGGATGCTGACATCAAACTTGGTCTCGGAACAGGTGAATATCTTCAGGACCTCTGAGAGGAATTCTATCAGAGGTTACTATTTTCTTTTTCGTAAGAAGAGAACCTCCCCTTCTCCATTACTCTTCCTGTTTTTATCCGTTACGAGCTAAAAGGTTGGCAAAATAGGGGAAGACTAGTCTTCAGAGACATTTTCTGGGATCTCTAGAAATTCCCAAGCCCTATTTAGACTCCGGGTAGAATTTGTACCTTGTATTCTCTCATAGGCCCTGAATTACTACGGACTGAACATACCAACAGGAAGTTAATAAAATTATTAGAACAGTTAATATTAGTAAAGACAATAGTAAAAATGGAGCATTTCTTGCTATCTTGTATATAATATATATATATATATATACTGTATATTTTTCGTTTAATTATTCAAATCCGACCAATCTTTTATTCTGGATTTAGTTCAAATTTAAGTTTAGTAATTAAATTAGTATTGAAGCATGTCATAAGTTAGTTCGACAAAAAAAAAAAAAAACTTACCAGTATTAATGTTTGAAAAAATAAAAAAAAGAAACCTACCTTATTCAGCCGGAGTGGATTTTTAACAGCAGTCTTTTTTCTCTCGGAAAGTAAGGGAATGTTATATTCCAACATCCGCTAGAATAGAACGTGATTTTATTGGTAATATTAGCCGTTTTCTTATAAGAAAACATTCGGCATTTATTAAACAGTGTTTAAAGTGGAAATTCCATGCGTACATGGCGCAAAGAATTTTCAACACCACCCCCGCTCTCAATATTTCGAATTCAAGTGCCAGGGACCGACTTTAATCTCTTCTGCAAGTAGACATTCTCCTGGAACACCTAGAAAAATCGGGTTGCGAATGAAAGTTCTGAAATAAATAGCATTTGTACTAATCTTCCTCATTTTTAATATTCTATCCCCGACGACCAATTTCCACGCTAACCCTCATGGGATTTTTTTTTTTTTTAAAAATACACGTTGTCAATTTTTCAAAGTTTCTTTTCTTCTCCAATTCTTAGTTAATATTTGAAAGAGTAGTTGAACTAACTCAACAGATATTAATTCATAATGATTTCAGCTGATTGAGGAACGAAAAAACTCCTATGAGGCCTCGAGGGAAATGAAATGGTTTGGAGAGAATGTAAGAGAGAAGGCAGTGATATGAAATTAATTTAAAATTACGACATACATAACGAAATTTCTTTTAAAATAACAAGATATAAGCCTAGTGGATAAAAACGTTGGTTGAAGTAATGCAGAATGAAGACAACAGTCCGAACAAATGTAAATAGTTTAGATAATTACAATACCTCAGACATATCGACAGATCCTGAAGAAGGCCGGATCGTACATCGGCCGAAACGTTGTGAATATGACAATAAAGATAAGGATAACAGTCCGAACAATGTGAATAGTTTAAATAATTACAATACCTGATCTCAAAAATATACACAGATAAGAATAAAAAAAATTACTTTTGGGTAGGATGGATAAAATTTACAATGGAAAGAAAAAGTATTACAGAGATGAAACGAGTAAAAATGAAAGAAAACAAAACTACAATACATCCAAATATGGAATGATCCTAAAATATGAGTTAATGACATTAGCACTTAAAGAGGCGGGAGAATCAGCAAGACCAGACGAGATTGTTAAATTGCCTAGATGATATACGAATTTTTTTAAAATCAAGTTCCTCCCCCAACAAAAACCACACATATACACAAGCAAAGCAATAATGCCACTAAGTTGATAAAATACAAGAAAATGGATTACTATATATGCTAGAGTATACAGCGAGTTACGCAGGTAATCTTTTTGAAGTGGTTAAAAATTATGCATTGTTGGTAACTGGTTGCCCTATATGCACGTATTTGTTTTTCTGGAGGGGTTAAAATTCATGCAAAAACATTCAGGGTTGTACTATACAAGAGGTCAGCTTATACACAAGTATATACTGTCAAATAAAATGTCCTTATTCATTCTGACTGAAAAATTCTTTTGAATTCTTTTGTGCAAGCAAAATATCTAATAGAGACAATTTATAAAAAGCTATATAAAGGAACATATACTCAGCATATTTACTCATATACATTTTTTAAAATCAATTCACCCCAAGCAAGGCAATAATGCCACTAAGATGCAAGTGGCTACTGGGAGTGAAAAGAATGGAAAAGACTTTAGAAGGAGCCGAAAACCCAATCCTAAACAGGAAACAAGGGATAAACCTCTACTGCTATTGAGACTGAGGAGGAGTGTCAATATATAGCTTGTCAAAATTGAATATTTATTACAAATATGTTTTCATTGCTAATCTTTAGATGTTAAGCCTATCCCAAATATTGTGCAAAATATTCAATCATAGTTTTTCCATACAAATTACTGCATTGATACCATCTTCCATTTGAAATTTACAAAACTAAACCTGTTTAAAAGACCGTGGAGGAGCGTGAACCGGACGATAGGCGAACCTACCTACTCCTATTGATTAGATTACAGGTTATGATAAGCGAAATATATGACAGCGATGACATGATGGAGAATCTCGGCAGACTAAATTTTATAGCATTTGTCAAGAAAGCAAATGCCATTGAATATGATCTCCATTGTGCAAATAAAACATAATTAGGATTCTAATGAATAGAGCCTGTAGCTGAATCAGACCAGAAATATGGAAAGAACAAAACTTTTTTTTCATGGTCAGAATCAGGATTGTAAACAAAGCAAGTATTTCTGAAAGCAATAAAAGACAGGAAAATGTGGAGAGCCATGAACTCCGTACCTTGAAGAGACATGGCAGGGAGAGATAACCTACTTGACAAATTTGAGCAAATGGATGTAGATAAAGACAAAACAGGGGTTTGTTTGTTTTGATGACTTCAGGTTTGACTGAAGTCTTCTCCGGTTTTCTTTTCCTATCTAGCAAACTTTTCATCTTTTTCCAATATTTTGACATTGTAAAAATAATATCTGTTACCATTTCTTGGAAGTTCTTTATGTCGCCTTTCCTTAGGGCAGCCTTATTTCAAATGATATTCATCGGCTGAAAAAAAGTAGAAATATGGCAGTTTCAATTTACAATGCGAGCAGAATCGTATAGAATGAATACATTCAAATACACCGTCACACACACACACAAATATATATATATTCAAAATTTTATTAGATTGAAAACTATGATTTCACACCCACAAAGCACAATTTTAGAGAAAAGTTCCTGAAATTTATTACAGCAACATAATACAGGTTGATCAAACACATAGTTGTGGTATAAACCACAGGTTGGCTCTATGGGTGTTTAACAAACGCAAATATGACCGAGCAGGCGTCTGCAGGAGGGATTGGCTAGCCGTCCTAGTAGACAGGCATACTCGGTTACCATCGGCCAGCCAGCACATGCCTTGTTTGAGTTCCAAGTCTTTTTATGTCTCTTCCATCCTTGCATAACACTTTTTGACTGTTACAAACAATTTCTTTATGGATGGGGTAGGGGGACTAAAGTCTGGACACCCTAGGCAAAAATACATATTTTCAAGAAATGACATTTTCAACAACATTGAATCGGAATATTAACAAATAACATCTTCAGTATGATTTCCATGACTTGTGATGCAAAGGTTGATGCACTTTGCAAGATTCAGGCGAATTCAATGCAATAAATTCTACATTGCCGTCAATTTTAGCACATTCACTCGTTATGCGATCAATCAAGGGTGTTGCATCTGTGATTTTCAATGATTACACCTTCTTTAGTATAGCCTAGAAAAAGAAGTTAAGTCTTCTTTTGACAAAACTATGTTTAATCTGTGGAGGTAGAAAATATAATTAATAAAATTTCCTGTATGTCCAATCTTTAGGGACACACCCTGTACAAACTCTGTTCATTTAGCAATTGAACAAAATATGCTTTGCGTATCGCATGGTCTTTCATTTTCAGTAAGCATTCGGCAAGCGTTAAGGCAACCAATTTGCAGATGCTGTCAAGGAATCTTTTGTATGATTGAATTAAGCAAAATAATTTATTTTACTGTTGTGTAGTTGCATTTTAACAGTATCTAACAAAATGTCTCCTATTACTCTAATCTCTACACAAACATTCTGTACCAGTTGATGATTTCTCATAAAGTATTTTAAAATGCAACACAATAATAATAATATAACAATTATAACAGCCATTAAAATTCCAATGCTTGTTCGGATGACTGAATTCATTCTTTATTTGCTTTTGTTATTAGCACAGCGTTTGTAAACATTCTAGGAGAAAAGCACTCGAAACGGAAAATCCCACTCGACCAACTTATGTATGTGTACTATATATTGAAGTACTCTGACGTGCCAAATGTTATAGATGCCAAGTATCATTTAGGATCCTTTCTAACTTGCTACCAAACCGACGCCTCATTTATTCTACAATGGACGAAATTTTTAGTATTTCATTTCTGAGATGAGTAATTGTCAATATTCTTGTATTATTTTAAATTATTGTTCTCATCTTGGTTGATATAGATGTTATTATCAACACAACGTTTCAACAAAGTATTCACTAGTCATCCTCAGGTGTCCATTGATTGGCTGATACACATATCTGTTGGTTATTGTGATATTTTTGTTCCTGTGGTGTCAGTTATTGTTCGTCCTGTTGAATTCAACATATTCCAAATCAGCCAATCAATAGACATCTGATGATGACAAGAGAGTACTTGGTCGAAACGTTGCGCCTATATTAACATCTACATCAACCAAGATGAGGACAATAGTTCGAAATAATACAAAATCTATAACATCTCGATATTTTTTCACAGCTCCCTAATATTTGCCGGCGCGGCTATCACTCTCCGCCATGTCCCATAAATGCTCGATTGGGCTGATATCAAGCGAACATTGTAGCCACACTATTCATTAAAAGTTTCTAGAATGCTCCTTAACCCAATTCTAGGCAACTGGAGTAACTGATGACAGGGTGCATTATCCTATACTGTTGGGGGTAGGGTACATAGAGTCCGTAAAAGGAATCAGACCACCGTAGCTGTCAATGAAGCA